TGTACATGTATATCGCCGGCATGCGCCAGGAGTCACCCGCGGTGCGCCTCTCTGCTCTTGCAAGTTGCAACCTCCCGGCGCATCGCGATTTTGTGAACCAGTGCAGTCGTAATTGCGAAGAACTGCGCTTCGGTCCTCTGAGCTGTGCTGAGGAGCTCTAAACAGAGCGAAACAGTTGCTGTCCACAGGCTTGAGTAGTTTATATTATATATATAAAGGCATAGCCTAGCCTATCGGGGGGATCTCCTAACAGTGAAAAGGATTATTGATTTATAATAGTGAAGCGACTGGTGCAGGCAAATGTATGCTGTTTATGATGAGAGCGAAATTGTGTCCGAAATTCTGAAACAGAATCTATAGCGGTAATCTTGGGTGGAAGGCAATTCCATAATTTGCCGATTTTATGTAAGAAAAGGGAAGATGAAAATTTGGGCAGTGCCCAACTCTTTTGCGATCTGCCCCACCAGTCCACCGATCCCGTGGAATTTTGACCAAAAGTGGTTTGTGAACCGTTTGCGCCGGTGATCGCCGATGCCGGGAGCCAGAGTCTGTCAAAATTTCAAACCAATACTTGTCCTAAATTTCCCTCGAAGCTACAAGTGTAGTGTTGATAAAGTCACAAGAACTTGCCAATGTATCCATCGTATTTTTTTATTTTTTTCAATGGTATTTGTTTCATAAGTTGCACAACAGTCAAGCAGATCATCCGTGAAGGACGGGTTGGTATGCTGACTTTGTTCACACCTTGAAGCGACTACAAGAATGGCGAACAGATCTCATCATAGGCTCTGACTTCAATTTCTGAAAATTTAGGACGAGTATTGGTTTGGTGGGATTATTTACCGTACAACTGCACTGGTTCACATAAGCGTACTGCGCCGTCAGTGGTTGCAAGCAGGGAGTACATGTAGTACAATATTGTACTACTCCCTGGTTGCAAGAGGCCCACCGCCGGCGACTCCCGGCGCGTTCCGCGCGACATGTGAAACTTCGTACACATTTTCGAAAGGCCCGTCGCGAAACTTCGTTCTCGTTCGAATTTTCGTTTTGCAGGACCTCTTGACTAACTTGTGGTCAACGGACGCCAGATGCATCGTCCTGACCAAAGTTATCGGATTTGTGTCATAGGATGGAGCCTGCCAGAAGGGTTATCGGTTTCCGCCCAGGCTGTTTGTTTAAACTGGCGGCAACCACAATGCTCGCAACAGTCCTGCTCAGCCGTGGAGTCGTGCAAAGGCCCTTGGGTGGCAACAAGCCACCAGCAGTATTCCACCCTACACTACTGAACAGGGCGTCGATATCACGCAGATCAATGGAGCAACACAGCAAAGCGTCTCCTCAGAATCGGTCCGCTGCACGAGAGTATTCCAGTAGGTTTCGGCGTCCACGGCACGACGAAATCAGCAATGAAGAGGCTGTCTGGGCACACGACAGATCTGAACAGGTTGCTGGTGCTGGCGAGCGGTGGTACAGGTACGGAACGCCTTTCCACACGACACCCCTTGGAGATGTATCTCTTGTGTTCAAGGCAGCTGACTTGAAAGGCACATCGCTGCTTCTGTACGGACAGCTTCTGCAAGGCATCTTTCACCCCGCGTATGAGCAGTACATAGCAGTTCTTCTTAATGATTCTGTAGTAATTGTGACTGTGAAACGTAACCATGCTACTCCTGCAGGCGAAAGTAAAACCCAAACGGCTAGCACTGATCAAAAGATAGAGGCGAATGTCTGGTACACATTGTGCGTGGTGACGTCACCGGTACTGCAGGTCTATTCAGAAAAGGCGTCACCCGACAGCATCCATCTAACTGAAGATCAATTGAGCAAATGTGGGCAAAGCGAGAGCTCCCCTGAGAAGGCGTTGAAGCCTGTTTTAGTAGATTCTGGATTGTACTTTGGTGGTGTCATTGACTGGCAGGCCTGCCCTGGGCTTACTACGCTACGCAATCTGCAAACATTTCGCGGGAAGATCTTGAGAAAGGTCCATGTGAATATGCAGGAAGTCGACCTAACCAACTGCACAACTGGGTATGCAGCGGAGACTTGGAGAGTGCGTATGTCCAAAATTGATATCAAACATCCGATTTCCATTCGTCGCTGGCCTGTAGTCAAGCCTCAAGTTGACTTGTCATTCCAGCACTTTCCCATTGTATCCGCACTAAGTAATGACCATGCTGTGGAGAGCGAGGACATGATAGCATCTGTAGCCAAACATATGCCCCTTAGAGGCGTGATTATTTACGATCTGGGTATGTCGCAGACAGCCAGGAAGTCTACGTCATCGTATTGCAACGTTACTATCCGTAGTTTCAGGCAGGACATCTTCAAAGATTTCACCTCCAACCTAAAAAACTACCGGTGGAAACCTCTGTTGGTTTATGGAGCGTTCCTGGAGTTCGATGGTGTTATCTGGGCAGATGCATCAATACGCTTCCAGCATCCAATACGAAACATTCCTCTTGTTCAGAATAGTTCTGGATTTGTGGGTTTTGAAATGGAAAATGCGTCGCCCATAGGTGCCTTCACGCACGACGGTATGTTGAAGGAGCTGGGAGTGGCGCGCTCTGCAGTTGTTACAGCTGTGATGATAATAGGCGGGGTAAGTATATGGATGCGGCAGGGACCGGTATCGCAAACACTGGCAGAGCACTGGATGGCCTGCGCACAGCGCAAATCATGTTTTGCCCCACCAGGAGCAGTTGTGGATTCATGGAAGTGTAGACTTAAGGAGCGCAAATCCGGGAAATACATTGGGTGCCATCGATACGACCAAAGTGCGTTGAGTATCATTGCCTCAAAGATCTTGAATGGATCGCGGTACATTGGCCATGCTTTTAGTCATTTTGCGATTGCTCAAAAACCAACATTCCTCTTTCCACGATGTAATCAATCCATGGTGACCTAGTTTCTTTCACATACCCTAATTTGTTCAAAGACACTGCTGTGTCACTTCGTTCTATAATTGCGTTATCATAGATGCTGGTCTACGTGTAGTTCCTAGCTGGTCTAGTTATTTTCCAGTAAAAACATGTTCATGCACAGGTGTAGTGTGCGTAGTCTCTTCGGAGGCGTGGGTTCGAATCCCACCGCTGCCACCAATTTAGAAAAGCGATCCTGTCAGCTTTTCTATTATTGTGTTCACATGGAGCTACCTAACGACACCGCTATTCAGACACGTTGTCTACGTAGCTACGTAAGTTTCTACGTAAGATGCTCGGTACCTGGTCCTGCAGGGAGGCCGGAGCTACTCCATGGCTCCTACCATCGCGCGGCCGGATGGCCGCATGCGTGTGCATTGCAGACTTTTTGTTGTTGCCTTTTCGGATGTGCATGCACGAGGAACTTCCTTCTTTGGAACTGCTTCTTGCATGAGCTGTTTCGGATATTTCGTCTCCTGGCCTGGCTTATTTCGTTTCGGTGCTGCTGAGACCTCCTTTCGCGGAATATTACTCAATGACAGGTGAGTTGACCAGTTCCCTTTGATTCATTTGCTTGTGTTGACTCTTTCATTTACGAAAAGTGTGCTGATTTTGGGCGGAATGCAATAAATAATGGAAAAGCTGACAGGATCTCCTTTCTAAATTTAGCTTTTCCGCTGCCGAGGCCTCCTTTTACGGAATACTCAATGACAGGCGATCTCTGAGTTGACCAGTTTCCTTCGATTCATTTGCTTATGCTCACCCTTTCATTTACGGAAACGTGTGCTGATTTTATTCGAATTTAGATCCATTTTTATCTCTTTGCCCTTGCCTACAGTGTGCGAAGAACGCGAGTTCCCCTTCTCGACGGTAAGGCTTATGTTAGATGTGTTGTAAAAATACTCATATTCATTGCACATTAGTACGTTACAAGTAAGGCACTGGTCAGTGGCATACTATCGTTGGCAGTTCCCAATCTGGAGGGAAAGGTTCAAGGACTCATTGACCGAGTTTGCCAAATAAATTCGCATATCAGGGAAAATCTCCATTGTGGAGAGGTTCAGTAACTTGTTTGCTTCATACGAAACAAGCCAATGGGTGCATTGTCGTCTCGTGAAAATCTCGTACTTGTATGATTGCATTTGTTTACTCGAGTCTGGGCTGTTTGAGTGAGTACTGCCGAGATTGCACTGCCCCAAATAAAGTTTCGTGCCGCCAAAGCAAGAATTACGATCTGCAATCTGTTTGTAGTACCAAGAGTACATAACCCCCCGTACTCTTGGTAGTACTTGCAAGAATGTGCAGTACATGTATCGTACTTTCTCTGTTGCTGTTTCAGTTGCCGTCATGTTGCTAAAGAAAGGTTCACTGGAGAGGTTCTGCAAAACAAAAATTCGAACGAAGTTTCGCGACAGTCCTTGCAAAAGTGTGTACGAATTTTTGCACGAACTTTGCGTTCTGCACATTTTCGTAGTTTGCGCGGGCCAAGTGCACGTACGCCATGACCCGATCTCACGAAATTTCCTACAACAGTTCATTTCGCGTTCCCTGCAAGTTTCGCGTCCAAAGTTGCGAAGTTTCGCACTTCATGATGTAGAGCGAAAGTTTGTACGCATTTTCGTTTTGCAGAACCTCTCTAGTGACTCTTTTGTTTCATACGAGATGAGTCGGTGTGGCTTAGAATCTTTCGCTGTAGAAGAAATCTATTCGTATGTCTATTGGAGAAATAATTGTATTCACTGGTTATATATGTATTATAAAATAGGTTAAGACAAACTCACAGAATAAATACCATCGGTCCCTTGGTGTTCGTCCTAAAGAGGTTCGACTGGATATCATTCATACTCACCAAAAGATGTGTAAGATTTTATTATCATGGAGTGCCTTGTTTATCTCTCAGTATCAGTACCTCCAACCATAGCCTTGACCCTTTTATCCTCAGGATCAGTGTAGTTGTTAGAACGAGGTGTCGGACTCAGCAATGTATTGTTTACATTTTAATACATGTTTATTGTTCCTCCTTTGCTGTGTTTTAGAAAATCGTGGACTAACAGTTTGAAGTCATTGAACTACTTCCAAGAGTTGTATCGACATCAACAGGATTACGATTTCAGTGCAATATGATGCAGGATGACCTTACACGATAACCCATGATTATAAACCATTACAAACACAGAATCAACAAAAACATCTGCGACACGCACCTGGCACATGGCTACATTTCTTCTATATAAATCTGATCGAGGGTGGGGAAATCTGAAATATCTGAAAGGCAAGACAAATTTATGGCAGAGTCGTGAAATTCTGCAACAGCAACATGCACAGAATGACCTCCGTATAAAAAAAGTATCGCCACCTGACTACTCGCATGTTTCCCCGCAGAAGAACATGCATTATGCTAGTGCCATTTTCTGCAAAAAAAGGCTTGCACATCAATGCGTATAATCAAGAGTACATAAGGTTATGTACTCTTGGTATAATCAAGAGTACATAACCCCCATTATGTACTCTTGGTATACCTCTTGATATGATGTGAAAGCCATCATTTACATATTCATATAGGGCTTGGCATTGATTGGTGACAGAAAAAAAAAAAGAAATTATAGCAATAAAAACTGCTTTATGGCAGTTTTCTAAAAAAAGTTATTGTGTTCTAGTCCATGGAGCCCGTCTAAAAAGTAAGAAATTAACGAAATGTGATCGCTGAATATTAAAATTTCACACAAAACCTCACAATAATCACACACAGAATTAAAAGCTACATGTAGAAGACCTTTTCCCCTCGTGATCTTCTTTCCTATGCATGCATGTTGCCAATTGTTGGTGCAGTACAAGTTAAAGTTGAAAGCAGCATTTCAAGTGTTGTGATTATTGTGAGGTTTTGTGTGAAATTTTAATTTTCAGCTATCACATTTCGTTAATTTCTTACTTTTTAGACGGGCTCCATGGACTAGAACACAATAACTTTTTTTAGAAAACTGCCATAAAGCAGTTTTTATTGCTATAATGTACTGTGCGTGGTCTAAGGCAAGGAGGCAGCTACCCACAGTCAGTGAACGAACGTTTCAGAACTTACTCCGGCACGGCCTGGAGGTTATCTTATATCAAATATTCCTAAGTGAACTTGCTCTCAATCAACCACGACTGTTACGTATGAGATACAAACTAGAGAACTTATACAGAATCTAACAAGGCCGTTGGCAAGGGGGGCCAGCTAGGAAGCTTCAGCTGGTGTCTATTGCGGGAAACAAGCAGCAGGCAGCAAAACAGCTAAAGAGAGTATGTGATAGTGTAGCAAGCAATCTGGAAATGCCATTGATTACTCGCAGCACGCCTCAGTGCTACAAAGGAAGCATTGGAGCATGAAACTGATATCGCAGTGAAGATAAGTCCATACAACTGCACAAGGACCTCTTGCAAATGAAGCATAGCGGCACAAGTATTGTATTTTGGAAACAATGAAGACTACTGATAATTAGTGTTGGTCTAGCTACTCTCCAGTGTGTAGTGGCGCAATGCAAGGATCATGGAAGAACAATCGTAAATGTAGGAAGTACTGTATGCTTCTAAACAATAGGGGCATGTTCGATTGGTAAGGATCGGGATCCAGATCTCAGATCCCTCGGATCCTTCAGATTCAACTGAACACTTTATTTTGGACCTTGACTGTTGCCATGTTGAAAATGGCGCTCACAAGGCACCCAAAAGGTTGAACGTCGTACTCATCCCGTGCGTCGTACAAAAAGTCAACAAGCTCTAGAGATAGCTCTATCTCCATCCACGTGTGCGTACCACAATGTGTACAAAAATGATTTTTACCCGCCATATACGCACAAAGGTCACATTTGGATCCGGTGAACCCTGCTCCCCGAGGAGGGTTGACCGGATCCAAATCCGAAGGATCCGGATCCGGATCCGACCAATCGAAAGGGTGCGAATCCAGTGGATCCGGTGGATCGGGATCCCGATCCTACCAATCGAACATGCCCTAAGAGTCATGCAAAATACATGTACTACTAGTCATGTGTAAACTGTAAAGCAGGGATACTACACAGGTACATGTGCATACTTAACAATGTGTTCGTATCTGATACTGTGGCGCACTATATCCCAATTGTTTCATTTACCAATACGAGGTTATGAGCGCTGCGTGATTGCAATTCATCGTCAGAGAAATAATGGATAAGAAGTCCCGCGAAACGAGACATTAGGGCGGAAAATGCCCCTGCCACTCGCCGCGCCTTATGGCTTGTGTCGATCGATGCTGGACATCGCAAAAAAATCCTGCTTTTCCTGTCGTAGGAATCATAAGTGTTATCAAGAGTACACAATACAATTATAAGCACCGAGAGCTTATTTACTCTTGGTGGTATCGTACTGCGATAATAATAACAGTGGCGGATCCAAAGCAAAGTGTGCTGCTGTGAAATATCGAAAAATATCATGTGTGCACAAAAGGACGTCCGTCCGATCACGGTCAGTGCAGTCACTGAGTCAAGGAGTACAGTGCACTGCATGCGGTAGATCGATACTGTACGTACAGAAAAGCGATCCTGTCAGCTTTTCTATTATTGTGTTCACATGGCGCTACCTAACGACACCGCTATTCAGACACATTGTCTACGTAGCTACGTAAGTTTCTACGTAAGATGCTCGGTACCTGGTCCTGGACCAGGGAGCTACTCCATGGCTCCTACCAGGGAACCGTAAAATACCTTTTACGACTCCCTGGCTCCTACCATCACGCGGCCGGCTGGCCGCATGCGTGTGCATTGCAGACTTTTTGTTGTTGCCTTTTCGGATGTGCATGCACGAGGAACTTCCTTCTTTGGAACTGCTTCTTGCATGAGCTGTTTCGGATATTTCGTCTTCTGGCCTGGCTTATTTCGTTTCGGCGCTGCTGAGACCTCCTTTCGCGGAATATTACTCAATGACAGGTGAGTTGACCAGTTGCCTTTGATTCATTTGCTTGTGTTGACTCTTTCATTTACGAAAAAGTGTGCTGATTTTGGGTGGAATGCAATAAATAATGGAAAAGCTGACAGGATCTCCTTTCTAAATTTAGCTTTTTCCCTGCCGAGGCCTCCTTTTTGCGGAATACTCGATGACAGGTGATCTCTGAGTTGACCAGTTTCCTTCGATTCATTTGCTTATGCTCAGCCTTTCATTTACGGAAACGTGTGCTGATTTTATTCGGATTTAGATCCATTTTTATCTCTTTGCCCTTGCCTACAGTGTGCGAAGAACGCGAGTTCACCTTCTTGACGGTAAGGCTTATGTTAGATGTGTTGTCGAAATACTTATATTCATTGCACATTAGTACGTTACAAGTAAGGCACTGGTCAGTGGCATACTATCGTTTGCAGTTCCCAATCTGGAGGGAACGGTTCAAGGACTCATTGGACGAGTTTGCCAAATAAATTCGCATATCAGGGAAAATCTCCATTGTGGAGAGGTTCAGTAACTTGTTTGCTTCATACGAAACAAGCCAATGGGTGCAGTCTCGTCTCGTGAAAATCTAGTACTTGTATGATTGAATTTGTTTACTCGAGTCTGGGCTGTTTGATTTGTGAGTACCGCCGAGATTGCACTGCCCCAAATAAAGTTTCGTGCCTCCAAAGCAAGAATTACGATCTGCAATCTGTTTGTAGTACCTGTAGTACCTGCAAGAATGTGCAGTACATGTATCGTACTTTCTCTGTTGCTGTTTCAGTTGCCGTCATGTTGCTAAAGAAAGGTTCAGTAGAGAGGTTCTGCAAAACGAAAATTCGAACGAAGTTTCGCGACAGTCCTTGCGAAAGTGTGTACGAATTTGTGCACGAACTTTGCGTTCTGCACATTTTCGTAGTTTGCGCGGGCCAAGTGCACGTACGCCATGACCCGATCTCACGAAATTTCCTACGACAGTTCATTTCGCGTTCCCCGCAAATTTCACGCCCAAAGTTGCGAAAGTTCGTGCGAAGTTTCGCACTTCATGATGTAGAGCGAAAGTTCGTACACATTTTCGTTTTGCAGAACCTCTCTAGTGACTCTTTTGTTTCATACGAGACGAGTCAATGAGTCGGTGTGGCTTAGAATCCTTCGCTGTAGAAGAAATCTATTCGTATGTCTATTGGAGAAATAATTGTATTCACTGGTTATAAAATAGGTTAAGACAAACCCACAGAATAAATACCATCGGTCCCTTGGTGTTCGTCCTAAAGAGGTTCGACTGGATATCATTCATACTCACCAAAAGATGTGTAAGATTTTATTATCATGGAGTGCCTTGTTTATCTCTCAGTATCAGTGCCTCCAACCATAGCCTTGACCCTTTTATCCTCAGGATCAGTGTAGTTGTTGGAACGAGGTGTCGGATTCAGCAATGTATTTGTTTACATTTTAACCCATTCAGCGCTACTGGGCCTTGCCTATGCTACTCTGCATATAAATGCTAAAAACAGGGCCAATAGCAAGTTCTAAAACTCCAGGGTTCTGGCAACTGGGGTCCTCAAATATTTTGGAAATGATTGCCAAGACTATCAACCACAGGGTGACAGAATTGATACAGTCCCCAAAAAGAATAGCGCATCACAACAGGGGACGCAAGTTTGCTCAAATTGCGTGAAATACGCCAAATGCGTGAAATTGCAGCTGAAACATCGCTGAAAAGAGAAGAAAAAAAGATGAGTAGTGTTTCCAAGCGGGATTCGTACCAACAACCTATCGTACAAGAGGCAGGATCATGATCCAACTGACTATTATATAAACAGTGCTTTTACACACCAAAAAGTGCCAGAAATCGCTATATATCCCATGACGTCTATAGACGTCATCCGCGCATGGGGGGCATTTTCAATGACGTGTATAGACGTCATCAGCGTTCAAAGGGTTAATACATGTTAATTGTTCCTCCTTTGCTGTGTTGTTTTAGAAAATCGTGGACTAACAGTTTGAAGTTGTATCGACATCAACAGGATTACGATTTCAGTGCAATATGATGCACGATAACCCATGATTATAAACCATTATAAACACAGAATCAACAAAAACATCTGCGACACGCACCTGGCGCATGGCTACATTTCTCAAATAAATCTGATCGAGGGTGGGGAAATCTGAAATATCTGAAAGGCAAGACAAATTTATGACAGAGTCATGAAATTCTGCAACAGCAACATGCACAGAGTGACCTCCGTATAAAAAAAGTATCACGACCACTACTCACATGTTTCCCCGCAGAAGAACATGCATTATGCTTGTGCCATTTTCTGCAAGAAAAGGCTTGCACATCAATGAGTATGCTGTATTACGGTATTGATATGATCAAGAGTACATGAACCTCTTGATATGATGTGAAGGCCATCATTTACATATTGATATAGGACATTCAATTAATTGGTGACAGAAAAAAACAAAAGAAATTATAGCAATAAAAACTGCTTTATGGCAGTTTTCTAAAAAAAAGTTATTGGGTTCTAGTCCATGGACCCCGTCTAAAAAGTAAGAAATTAACGAAATGTGATAGCTGAAAATTAAAATTTCACACAAAACCTCACAATAATCACACACAGAATTAAAAGCTACATGTAGAAGACCTTTTCCCCTCGTGATCCTCTTTCCTATGCATGCATGTTGCCAATTGTTGGTGCAGTACAAGTTAAAGTTGAAAGCAGCATTTGAAATGTTGTGATTATTGTGAGGTTTTGTGTGAAATTTTAATTTTCAGCTATCACATTTCGTTAATTTCTTACTTTTTAGACGGGGTCCATGGACTAGAACACAATAACTTTTTTTAAGAAAACTGCCATAAAGCAGTTTTTATTGCTATAATCAAGAGTGCATAAACTGTTTATGGACTCTTGCTATAATGTAGTCTGTACTGGCGTTCACGTCCGTGATTTACAAACGGACACTGTACATGCATTATGCATTATTATGCATTATGCATTATTATGCATTATGCATTATGCATTATACCATTGGGTGGTTGTTTCCTTTTTGATCTTTGGAAACAATCCAAACTTACCTCCATTGGCGCTGTCATTCATTGCTGCTCTGGATGGGTGTGGTCAGTATTCCTTGGACAAGCTTTTTTCCGGAAGAGAAATGATGTTCCGATTGATGACACTCTTCAACGAACTTCGAATCTTACACGTAGAGTTCAAGCTCCTCAGAAGGTGAGAGCTCCGACATCCAAGCAAAGTCAGTAATCTCTACCTGCTGCACCATGCAGTAGTCACTACATTTAATTGTTCCTCCAACGGAGTGCTGCACCAGCGATGTGTTTTAGATGGTGTTGGAAGGATTGTCGACACTATTTCGCTGTTGTTGTTTCTGTCAAGTGAAGACAATGCTCCTGTGATTTATTATAGAGAATTTCGCATCGTAAAAATGCTAAAGATTTCCGAACGTACAAACCGACAGGGAAAGTTGTCATTCCGGCATTTCTGGCTCTCAACGTACCCGTGGCTTGCATATTCGATCTTTACAAGAAGTTGAAAGGGTCTTCAAGCCCTCACGGAACCTGTGTGCCAGTCGATTGCAAACATGTTTAATAATGATTATGTGTCCGTACTAAATATATACAATGTAGGGTGAGCAGCAGCATTTGGCCCTGTACAGGTTTTCCATAGTCCACCGCACCAAAACTGCACTCTCCAGCGATGGTGCAGTGGTGGTGTGCTGTGGCAACGTGGAGAGCGCAGTCAAGTGTGGTGTGGTCGATGATGGAAGAACATTGTGTCCGTAGTGTGTTTTAAAAGCATGCGACTCCAACTAACACAATCGGATTGTCGTGATTACAATCGCACAACTTCAATACAATCTGATTCCATACTATTTTGGCTGTTCAATTTTGGTTCAACTGTAGAGATGTCTGGATCCGCCCCTGAATTATATTATTCGGATCCGTGTCAGCATCGCTTGATTGTTGAGAAACACACAAACTAGTACATGTATTGCAATAAAGTATCATAAATGCCCGCAGCAAGTATGCAATATCAAAATTGATCACGCTACAAGCTGATCACATCACAATGTTCCACAGGACCACTGAGAAAGCCAATAAAAACACGCGGCCGAGTACTGAAGTCGTAGAGATACAATTAGATTGTATTTCTACGACTTCAGTACTTGGACGCGTGTTTTTATTGGCCGCATAAAATGATGATGCAAAGAAAGAAAAGGACACAGGAAATATGATGCTGGATTTGAAAAAAGAAGAAAAAAAGTAGTAGCCGAGCTTACTACTGTGAGCTGATAAACTCAACACTGAACATAAAGCGAGTATAAACCGTTATTCACATGCCTGCATATGTGTATAGTTTTATTTCCGCTACTAGCCCTACAACTTTACTGTCGGCTGATAAGTACTACAAAAAAGTTATAGTTCTACACTAGGCTTAATACCGTACCAAGGTAACTAACTGGTTGAGGGGCAAAAGTTACTTAGTCATGCCTGGGATCAGGTACCAGGTCGCCAAGGGCCAGGCTCTGTCGCGGGCAGACATGCCTTGCGCTGCCATCACCACCCCTGACCTGCGTCATATTATTATGATATCGACAGCCCTGCAGACTAGCACAGCACAAGAATGGGGGTGAGATAAACATGACGTCATTGTTCACAAGTCATCATTCCGTCACCTTCTTAATAAGACAGTAAGTACAGTGAACTTCGCGAATAACGACAATTCGCTAATAACGACTGCGGACATAACGACAATTCGCTAATAACGACTGCGGACATAACGACAATTCGCTAATAACGACTGCGGACATAACGACAATTCGCTAATAACGACTGCGGACATAACGACAATTCGCGAATAACGACTGCGGACATAACGACAATTCGCTAATAACGACTGCGGACATAACGACAATTCGCTAATAACGACTGCGGACATAACGACAATTCGCTAATAACGACTGCGGACATAACGACAATTCGCTAATAACGACTGCGGACATAACGACAATTCGCGAATAACGACTGCGGACATAACGACAATTCGCTAATAACGACTGCGGATATAACGACAATTCGCGAATAACGACTGCGGACATAACGACAATTCGCTAATAACGACTGCGGATATAACGACAATTCGCTAATAACGACTGCGGACATAACGACAATTCGCTAATAACGACTGCGGACATAACGACAATTCGCGAATAACGACTGCGGACATAACGACAATTCGCTAATAACGACTGCGGATATAACGACAATTCGCGAATAACGACTGCGGACATAACGACAATTCGCTAATAACGACTGCGGATATAACGACAATTCGCTAATCACGACTGCAGATATAACGACAATTCGCTAATAACGACTGCGGATATAACGACAATTCGCTAATAACGACTGCGGATATAACGACAATTCGCTAATAACGACTGCGGATATAACGACAATTCGCTAATAACGACTGCAGACATAACGACAATTCGCTGATAACGACTGCGGATATAACGACAATTCGCTAATAACGACTGCGGACATAACGACAATTCGCTGATAACGACTGCGGACATAACGACAATTCGCGAATAACGACTGCGGACATAACGACAATTCGCTAATAACGACTGCGGACATAACGACAATTCGCTAATAACGACTGCGGATATAACGACAATTCGCTAATAACGACTGCGGACATAACGACAATTCGCTAATAACGACTGCGGACATAACGACAATTCGCTAATAACAACTGCGGACATAACGACAATTCGCTAATAACGACTGCGGACATAACGACAATTCGCTAATAACGACTGCGGACATAACGACAATTCGCTAATAACGACTGCGGACATAACGACAATTCGCGAATAACGACTGCGGACATAACGACAATTCGCTAATAACGACTGCGGACATAACGACAATTCGCGAATAACGACTGCGGACATAACGACAATTCGCTAATAACGACTGCGGACATAACGACAATTCGCGAATAACGACTGCGGACATAACGACAATTCGCTAATAACGACTGCGGACATAACGACAATTCGCGAATAACGACTGCGGACATAACGACAATTCGCTAATAACGACTGCGGACATAACGACAATTCGCGAATAACGACTGCGGACATAACGACAATTCGCTAATAACGACTGCGGACATAACGACAATTCGCGAATAACGACTGCGGACATAACGACAATTCGCTAATAACGACTGCGGACATAACGACAATTCGCGAATAACGACTGCGGACATAACGACAATTCGCTGATAACGACTGCGGACATAACGACAATTCGCGAATAACGACTGCGGACATAACGGCAATTCGCTAATAACGACTGCGGACATAACGACAATTCGCTAATAACGACTGCGGACATAACGACAATTCGCTAATAACGACTGCGGACATAACGACAATTCGCGAATAACGACTGCGGACATAACGACAATTCGCTAATAACGACTGCGGACATAACGACAATTCACGAATAACGATTGCGGACATAACGACAATTCGCTAATAACGACTGCGGACATAACGACAATTCGCGAATAACGACTGCGGACATAACGACAATTCGCTAATAACGACTGCGGACATAACGACAATTCACGAATAACGACTGCGGACATAACGACAATTCGCTAATAACGACTGCGGACATAACGACAATTCGCGAATAACGACTGCGGACATAACGACAATTCGCTAATAACGACTGCGGACATAACGACAATTCGCGAATAACGACAGCATTTCCATGCCCAGAGCAAAGTCCCATCCAACTGTAATACATAATGAGACTTCGGGTATAACGACACTTCGCGAATAAGGACACTTTTTTGATGCCCCGCGGAGTGTCGTTATAAGCAAAGTTGACTATACCTACATAAGCACATGAGTCCAATGAGCAGAGAGAACTGATCTTGTTTCTTCACATAACGCTACACTTCAAGGTCTGAGCGGCAATGACATTTTTTCTCTGCCTCGCCTCTTTGTTGTTTGAGCTAGCAGAGGTGGTTAACGTTGAGTCAGTTTCGCATAGAGGAACATGTCCAATCCGCATTCGTTGTGATATCTGGAGTAAGGGCATGATTATGATATCTGCTTCATTCTCCCTAATGCTCCTGTATTTGGGATTTCGCGGACGGCCTGGTTTGGTACCATCCAAAGTCATTCCAGGAAATGAAGCCCAACCCACTGCAAGCCTTATGGATCGGAATGAATCCTCCTGCAAGGTATGCTTGAATATGATTTAAATTCTGAGTTTGATAATTTTTCAGTGATAATTACAGGTTTGTATTTCTCAGGCTCAATCATGTGTTTCCTGCGCTGAGGAGCCCATGGCCAACAACGAACACACACATTCAGTGCAACTCATGCACAAACAGACCCCCCCCCCCCCCACACCCACACACCCACATACACACGCACACATACACGCACATGCACACCCACACACAGCTGCAAGCATGAACGCACACACGTGCAAGCACACACACACACACAACCGCATGCATGTGCGCGCACACATGCACACCCACACGCACACACATGCACACCCACACACATGCACACCCACACGCAGCTGCAAGCATGAACGCACACACATGCAAGCACACACATACACACACACAACTGCATGCATGTGCGCGCACACATGCACACCCACACACATGCACACCCACAAGCAGCTGCAAGCATGAACGCACACACATGCAAGCACACACATACACACACAACTGCATGGATGTGCGTGCACACATGCAAGCACACACACACACGCACGAACACACACACACATATACACACACACACACCGAAACACGCACGCACGCACATGCACACACACGCACGCACATGCACACACACACACACACACACACACACACACACACACACAGACACAACTGAACGCACACAACCCGTTACCGCAGGCATGTGCACACACACACAAGCAAGCGACCAAACACACACATGCACACACAAACAAACACAAACATATAGATGGGCTTACTGTTCGTTAGCGTCCCTGGGCCATTGTGGTGTGGTGAAAGTGCGCAACAAGGGCCGCTCCCATTGCCGTTCCGATGCTGATCCAGGCGAGAACGAAAGAAGCACCATACTTGGGATCCGGCCTGTCGCCTAAGTTCTCCTCTTCGACGTAGCCGACAAAGGACAGAGCGGCTATGAACATACAGAAAGCTGCACACACCCAGGAAACAGCACAACAAAATTACTCAGCAACCAGTTCCAATACTAGTATAGGTCATGTGTATGTATGGCTTGGCAGGCCTGTAGCAGCCTCATTCCCATTAGTCCAGCAAGTTCCAACCTCAATATTAATTTAACTCGGATGGTGAGTTAAATTATGGTGAACGAAGAAGGACAAAATGTTGCGAGTTATGACGAACTGTCCACCAACGTAACCAGATCATATACAGTCAGCGAGTGCGACAAAATGGCACAAAACTGACAAAGGATTACTGAGACATTCGGCGACCTGGTTACGTTGGTGGACAGTTAGTCATAGCTCACAACATTTTGTCCTCCTTTTTTCATCAATATTAATTATTGAGGTTGGAGGGGGAGGGGGGGGGGGGGGGGGGGGAGGTGTGCTGATTATTAGATCGAACAATCACCAACGCATTCAAATCCCACATCGAACTGTACGACTGTCCTAGTCAGCTTCTAATACCGCCACGTACCATCATACACGACTAGCGGGCATTCGTTTGCTAACGGATCAGCAGCTAAACAGACGGGTACCCGGATCACCCCTAGTTCGCTCTGTGTTTTTCTGGCATCCCAATATTCCTTTTTTTTTTACAACATACTGGTTGAATCCTACTGTTTTGTGTGCAAAGAAATATTTCAAAAATAATGTGTTACATACATGCCATATATACAAACACCACAAACACAAAGACGTACGCACGCGCACACACACATATACACACACGCACACGCTCTCACACACACACACACACACACACACACACATATATGGGTGCGCTCGTACAAACATGTGCACGCGCACACACATACACACACAGTGACACACACACACGCTCACACACACACACACACACACACACACACACACACACACACACACACACACACACACACACATATGGGTGCACTCGTACAAACATGTGCACACGCACACCTCAGACCTCAGACCTGCCCATCGCGGAAGCGATGATAGCGAACAGGTATGTTAGACATAGCAACTTGTGCTGGGATTACACCATTCAACAGCTTGCAAGGCTGATGAATTGACCGCCACTATTTTTAGCCTGGTATCCACCACACAGCTGATTGAAGTGACTTTTTCTGGCCAGTGAATCCCTATTTTTCATTTTCCATTTTTTTTCTACACACACACCACACCACATACTCCGGCATACACTGGCTGTTGGTAACCACCCAGGAGAATGAAAGAAAAGTCAGGCAGAGACCGAGTAAGAGAAGAAAGACGTGTGCGACCATAATCGTCGGGAATTGAACCCGCAACCTCTCGATTGGAAATCGACTGCACATACCACTGCACCATATGGGACACGCACACACGCACACACACACACACACACACACACACACACACACACACACACACACACACACACACACACACACACACACACACACACACACACACACACACACATGTCCGAACAGATGCATGCACCCGGTAAATACACGTTCACACGCACACACACACACACACACACTCTCTCTCTCTCTCTCTCTCTCTCTCTCTCTCACTCACACATACAATACAATACAATACAATACAATACAATAATGCCCATCCGGAGATGATGGCAGGTCCTGAAAGGACCGACAGTGTTTCAGTCACGCGGAACAGAACTTCGAGTGGCGAGTGAGGTCCTGGCGACGGCGAAAATCTCGGCCGCAGTGGCACCTGAAATCCCGAGACACAGGTTTAGGCGGCTGGATGGTGTTGCAGGCCAGTCTCCACGCACGGCGGTCCTCAGCTAGGCTGTACCAGTCATTGATGTGGCGTTCCTCTAGGTCAATCACGATGTTGTCACGCCAACGCTTGCGTGGCCCGTGGCGAGGGCGCGGCTTCTGGAGCTCACCAAACAATACGCACTTTGGTATTCTGTCGTCCGACATGCCCCAACCAGCGAAGACGGCGCGTCCTCAGCATCTCCACCACTGATCGCAAACCAGCCCGCTCCAAGATGACAGCATTGGAGAGATGCTCATTCCATTGTTCTGACTTGCTGACGTCCAGGATAAACCGAGCACAGCAGTTGTGGAACACTGACAGACGGCGGGTATCGGTTGCCTTGACAGCCCATGACTCACAGCCATAAAGTAACGTTGAGAGGACGACTGCAGAGTAAACATGAGTCTTGGTACGCACAGAGATGTGGCGGTTTCGGAAGACAGCAGAACGCAAGGCACCGAAAGACCGGGAGGCCTTGGCAAGACGGGAAGAAACCTCAACCGCCAACTGACCATCATTAGTAATACAGCTACTGAGGTATGTAAACTCGTTCACGATTTCGATGTCGCCATCTGCCAACGTCAAGCATCCGGCATACTGGCCAACCCTCCCGTTTTTCCCGGGAAAATCCCGGAAAATCAACACTCCTCCCGGGGTCCCGGGGATTTCAAGCAAACTCCCGGAAAAACCAAAGTTTTTTTCTGATACAGGATTTTCCTGAAAACTCCATTGTTTCTCCCCGAATGTCCCGGTTTTTTGAACTTTTTTCAAAGGTATGTAGTAAAATGTACCATTGTACGGTGCTCATTCGCACTTCGAACTGTGCACAGCACTTTGAAGACCTGAGTCACCTGACCATGCAATATCTGCACTGACAAAGTGACAGGCGGTTGCCGACTGATCAAACTGCACTACATGTAACCAGGGTCGATCTGTGCTGTACGCCCAGCTGCAGAGTCGAACGTTTTTTGGGCGGGAAAAGCTCTTTTTCACTTGTTTTTGTGCCATCCAGGGATTTTGAGAGAAATCCAGGGATTCTGCATGTCTTGTCAAGGGATTGAGATTGTGGTGATTGGTCAGTATGATCCGGTCGGAGGGAGATCAGCATTGATGACCATGCACTTCTTTTTACCACTGAGTTTTGGTAAAACACATACACACACATACATACACACACACACACACACATACATACACACACACACACACACACACACATACACATGCACGCTCACATACAATTGCATACGCCAAACCCAAACACACACAGACACTGCTTCTTCCAGTACTCTCGATTAAAGCTTCAATACTGGAAAACTTATCCCTCTGGTCAGGACTCCTATGGCAATCTCCCAACTCATCTCTTACCGGAAGCGGCGAACAGAAAGCGCGGAAGTCCTATCCACTTCGGCTTTTTCTTATTGAATTCCATGAAGATGATCAAAACTGTTGTAGTGCTGGCAAGCAGCACTGCCATGACAACGAACGCTTGTGTATTGCGGAGAGTATCTTGCACACAACAGCAAGAAAACGAGGAGAGTTCATACTGTTTAGGGACGTTTCTCAATAAGGTGGGGTCAAGAGTCCAACAGCAAAACCGTGTATTGACTTGCGGTAAGATGGTATGGAAAGTGGACAATTTCACTTCTGTGTGAGAGTCGATCAAGCTGACATTTCGCCATGATTTCGGCATGCTATGTTCAGGGATGCAATCACCCTCTACGGTCAAGCCAAGATCGACCTTCAAATCCAGTAAAGATTACTTCTGGTTAGTCAAAGGTGAACAGTGGTGTATCCATAAGTGTGACGGAGCTGAATACGGGAAAAATGACAAAGGTCCGAAGAATAATTGACTGTAAATACCAAGTCTCTAACCAGGGACCCTGGAATTGACGACGGAATGTGTGCAATCTAACGGTGCATCCACCCTAATTTAATTATGGTGGATGCGTTCGATTACACACATTTCGGTCAATTGTAGAATAAATTTTATTCTAGAATTGACTAAATTATATTTTAGAATTGACCGAAATGTGTGTAATCGAACGTGCCCAGTGATAACTAGAAGTTAATTCTGCTGACTAAGTTAAACGTGCAACCAATCACAACAGAACGCATCAGCCTGTAATGCCCTTGCCTGCTTACGATTCACATTCAAGAGGTCACTATCCTTCAGCGAACTCTTGCAGCGTCGCACATCGGTGGTGACGCAGACTCGCCAAATTCCAACTTCTATGCCTGCACTGGTCTGGGCCTGGTCCATCTCGTACCACTTCGGAGCAGCTGTTCAGAAACAAACACAGCAAAAATCGCCCGCATATTCCGTATTGTACTCTTTTGGCCAGGGAGTAGTAAAATACCAGTATTTTACTACTTCTGCAAGCCCTTGGAAGGCGCCTTCCACATCAAGAGTATAAACTATCAGCAGGGAGGATGTACATGTACATGATCTATACCAGAATCTCAAGGGTATTGGAACTGACGATGGTGCATGTGCATAATCATTACATTCACGAATTGAACTGCTGCATTTCGGTCACCCAAATAATTTTACTCATACAAATTAACGCACATGCAAGGAACTAGTTGGATGATGCAACTGAGTGCAAAGTCCACGAAAATGGCGATTGGTCTTTCGTTGCAATTAATTTGCAAAGAATACGCCATGCCAAAATTACTGTAGTGCGAAGGAGTGAAGTAGAACACCGGTATCACGAAGCGGGAGATAAATACTCAAGTACAAGTAGATATCCAGAACTCATTAGTCGTTAGTGCAAGGCCGCGAAAAAGGCTTTGGAGTCCCACTTCATCTAGCCACTTATCGACTCGAGTTCCCAGGTACAATAGAAAGTGCATGGCTGTACAATATACATGTACATACGCTTTTCCAGGACGGATACATGATCGCTGAGCACTTCTCTTACCGTTGGCAGTGACCATCAAGACTATGGTAGTGACTGCCAGGATGTTGAGCGGTATCTCCAATCGCGCCATCGTTTCTCCTCACAGTGCATGCAACTGCTGGACAATTTCAAGGAGCACAACGTCTAGAGTCACCTCTGCCGCTTGTCCGGAAACTGTGGACGGCCAGAACGCACGGTGCAAACGGTCTATATTGGAAGGAACAGGGGACGTGTATTGCGATGTCCCTGTCGAATATGACCCAGAAGAACAGAAGGAAATACTGTACTCAGTAGCGACTGGTTACGTTCTCGAGAAGAGAGCAAGAAACTGTACAAGCGTGTGCAAATGTGTGCAGGGCGTTCGTCCATCCACCGCATGGTGTTTGGGGTTGGTGCTGCATTTCCACTGGCCGTGATCATGGTCGGTGTGCACAAGACAGACTCAGTACATGACTACAGTCTACAGTCGTAGTCTAACGCTGCTGCACAATCATGAGTAACACGTTACACGTCTAGTATTACAGAAGACTGCACTGGTTCTGTAATTTTTGTGAGTCTTGCTTGCATTGCAGGTAGGAACTACTATGCTGTACTCAGATGGTTTGTAGGGAAGTCTCACGCTACCTCGTTCTGTGCATGCATGTCAACGGCTCCAGCTTTTGGCTTTGCCTGTTCCATGATACGGGTGCGCATTCCTGTGTACATGCGCATCAATCCTTCAAGGCCTCATGCCATGGTAGTATAGTGACAGTACTAATACTATGCATGGTGGGAAAGAAAAGCCTGGGGAGGAAAAGGGGGCTGGCTTGACGAACTGTGCACACGACGGTAGAGCTCATTCATCTTCTTACAGTTGTGGATACATAGTTGCTGAGTGTACATAACTCGTTCTCATGACATGTGTGATTTCTTCTCTGTTTTGGCATTGCTGCCGATACTGAGCCAGCATTAGTACTATAATTATTATAGTACTAATGCTGGCTCAGTATCGGAGTTAAAATTTTGCACACCTGATGAGCTGTCACTAACAACACAGCGAAACGTACGTCGTGTGGAACTAACGTAACTATTAGTATTACCGTACTGGCAATATATGTTGCCGCGTAACGCGTAACGCAGGGGGGTGCGGCGTAACGCGCGACCAGGCTAGTGCGACAAATTTTCGTTGCGTTCGTAACGCGCGTCCGGCGGGGTGCGGCGATCTTTTCATTGCAGTTTGCAAAAAATGATGCGGCAATAGCAAAAAAATGATGCGGCAATAGCAAAAAAGTGATGCGGCAATAGCAAAAAAAGGACTGCGGCAATATAGAAACCTGTGTAACGGCTCCTGTGCGACTTTGCATGTAACGCCCTGCGTGCGGCAAACATGTGCCAATGTAACGCTTCATGGCCTCACTGCGGCAATATATATTGCCAGTACGGTACTTGCTACAGTAGTCAACTCGTCCACTGTGTCATGCATGAGGAGTACCGTCACGTAGATATTGGCGTCCGGTTCTGTACAATTCGTTTTCGCAAAGCTTCCCCCTGGCCCTTCCTTTTACTCTCATACCGGTACATGTGCTGCTGACCCACCCAAGTTGGGTGGTGTGTTGCTTTGCTGCTTCGTAGTGACCGCATTGTCAGGTCTCGTCATCGTCCTGTAACACTAACAGTCGGCATTCTTTGTTGCAGTGGGATGTACATGTACAAGTACATGTACATGTACAATGTAGCTTGTGCACATTTTCCGCTGCGCTCACCTTCCCCTCTTCGGTCCTACATGTACATGTATGTGACCATGAGCCTTCCCAGTTGAAAGGCCATTGGCATTGGTTTGAGCACTGGATCATGGAGGTGTGTTCTTTTCTTTTATTCCACGATGGCGTGACTGATAATGACTAATAAGGAACGTGTTAGAGCTACATGTCATGTACATTGTAGGACTCAGGTCACTGAATGTGTCTCAGTAGCTTGTCAGTTTTGTGCCCTATGAGTATTTGTATTACTAGTAGTACATGTATTATAGAGGTTATGCGAAAGGATCACGTGCAGGCGGCGTGTAGGCGGCCAAAGCGGCCGCGCTCCGCAGGGGTGGCAAAAGAGATGAAAAGTTCAAAAGAAGTACATGTGCCTGGAATAATTTCACGAAGGAAATTTCCTGTATCGCTGTTACGTTCCTCTTCTGTTCTTTACAAAGGACTATTGTACGAACGCTGAATCAGTGGCCATGACTTCTCCCAAGTTTTCAAAAGTGTATGACGAGTTAGATGACTCCAGCAAATGCCGGTACCGTGAAAAGCTCGAGCGCGTTGCACCAGACTCGAGTGATCCTTACCTGCCCAGAAGTATTTTTTTAGAGGAAGATAAATTTCCACTTGTGGACTATCCCGATATTTACAATTTCTTGGTCAACGCGCCCAGCCCCTACACCAAGGAGCAGCTCAAGGCCTACAAGAGCTTGGAAGGCTACAAATACCTTGTCAGTGGCTGGGTCGGCGATGTTCGTGCGTTTCCAGCGTCCGAATCTGACACATGTGACAGCAAGTTTGTCATCGCCAAAGTCCGCCATTCCCAGTCAGTTTCCGGCACCCATCTGCAACCCTGGATTGCTGCGCAAAACGACGGTAGCATGATTTGTGCACACTGCACCTGCATGGCTGGCCTTGGTGAGTCTTGTTCTCACGTTGCTGCACTGTTGTTCAGCCTGTATTCTAGAACGCAGCTGATTCAGAACACAGGAAGCACTTCATTGCCGTGCCAATGGTCAACTCCTTCAATGAAGGAGGTGGAGTATGCCAGGATTCGTGACATAAACTTCACTGCACCCGACACTAAACAGCATGGGAGCAAGCGCCGTAGGTCGGAGGAGAAGGTCCCTGCTGATATTAAGCAACCCTCCAGTGCTGAGCTGGGTGAACTATATGGAAATTTATGTCAAGCCGGTAAACCGTCATTACTCTCCCTTGTTCCCGGGTTCTGCGATAGGTACGTACCTTCCAAGCCCGAGGGATATCCACCCATTTTGGATTTATTGTACGAACCAGACATGCTGGATGCTAGTTTTGGGGACCTGCTCGTTCGTTGCGAGGCAGTATTTCCAGCGGTCTGTGTTTCAGAGGAGGAAGCACGCGCTGTGGAACAGGCTACGCGAAACCAGGCAGATTCCAAGGCCTGGTTTGAATTTCGCGCCGGCCGGATCACAGCTTCAAAGTTGAAGTCTGCTGTTCGCACGGATATTAGCCAGCCCTCTGCGTCCTTAGTCCGCTCTGTGTGTTACCCTGAGGCACACAAGTTTCGTAGCAAAGCCACACAATGGGGATGTGATCACGAGCAGAAGGCAATTGACAACTATAGTGAACATGCCAGTGCAACACATCAGAAGGTTGAAGTACTGCCCAGTGGCTTTGTAATTCATCCGGACTATCCATATCTTGGCGCTACTCCCGACTCCCTTGTGCAGTGCTCCTGCTGTGGCAACGGCGTGGTGGAAGTGAAGTGCCCGTACGGGTGCCGAGACAGTAGCCTGCATGATGCTGCCGATTCAGGGAAGTTCTGTCTAGTAAAGTCCGGCGGAGCACTCCATCTTAAGCAAGACCACATGTACTACTACCAAGTACAGCTACAGATGCTGGTGTGTAAGGTGCAGTACTGTGACTTTGTTGTGTGGAATGAAGGTCAGCTGTTTGTGGAGCGTATCTGTGCAGACACAGATTTCATCCGTGAAGCGGTAGCAGGTGCCAAGAAATTCTTCCAGTGTGCTGTTCTCCCAGAGCTTGTTGGGAAATGGTTCACTAAGACGTTCTCCACTCTTCCTGCCGATGCGTCTTCACCGGCTACATCAGCCTCGGAACCACTTGGTGCTGCCAGTACAACATCTACTGCGGATCAAGAACGCCCTCCGGAGTTTTGCTACTGCAAGTCTGTGAAGGCTGGCGAGGTACTGCGATGTTCCAACAACGATTGCAGTATTCGTTTGTTCCACATGGCTTGTTTGCAGCTGAAGAGTAAGCCAAAGCGCAAGAACTGGACCTGCCCGGAGTGTCGCAAGATTAAATCTGCCACTAAATAATGATATGCATGTACAAATACAGTGGTAGCGACTTCGGCGACAAGTTTATAGGAATGTTGGTCGCTAAGCACAACGTTCGTCAGCCTACTCAAGCTCAACTGCATGAGGGGTGAATTCCCCGAAACACTGTGTATTGAGCAGGGAGTGGTGCTTTCTTGCAGGTTTGCCGGAAGGAGGGCTCGAGGGACTTCTTCTCTGCTCTAGATGGCAGTTGTGAGTCAGTCAAGTGTCTGGATGGAAGTCGTGAGTTTGTCAAGTTTCTGAATGGCAGTCGTGAGTCAGTCAAATGTCCAGTCAAGGCGGCAGAAAAGCTCGACCTCTAGTATGGGGTGCAACCAACTTTCCATGTACATTGTCATTTTTGTCGTCGCAGTTGTAAATCCAAGTCTCAAGCATTTGAGAAGTGATTATATTCATGGAGCCTGCTATTCTGGTATTTCTAGAGTTGCATTTTCAACTTGTTCTGCTGTGCCTTCCACGGTACTTGCTGTTGCACTTGCCACGTGTGTGCATACAATCGGTGGCTGGGCTTTCACAACGATTTCCGTTACCTTTCTTGTATTTCTTTGCTTGCATGTATCTCTGAAGGACCATAATGCTGATTCGTATTTGTGGGTCGCAGGACATGCGTGAAGACCACTCACTGCTTATGCATGTGAGCAGAGGAACTCCATCATTACACATCAAACACTTCGCTCTTTACGTCTCTTCCGGGTGATGTTGGCATAAGTTGAGTTGTTCTTTGGTGCTGGGCATACTACATCTGATGGTACATCGCACACTACCCAGCACCCTAAGTTGGGTTTCAGGGCTATTCATAATTATTATATTGTGTTGTCCCTATTTGGACCACGAGTCATTATATTGATGCAACAAGAAACGGAGGCATGTCGTGAGTGATGATAGAAGCCATTATTATTACTATTATTGTAAGTCTGTTGGCATTGCCATGACCAAGCAAGCTTGGCTAGCCAGACAAAAAAAAAACTAGAAACAAGCGAGGTCAATGAGGTGAACACATGCGCATGCAACTGCAGAATAGGTAAAACAGAAATATAATTGCCGGTATATCCAGACAGTCCAAAAAGCACAAGGGGTTAATAATAAATTTGAATAATAATATAATAATAATATAGCAATCATTACAGCTGACAAAGCGGCATGATGTAATTTACTCGAAAGGTACGACGGACTCACAACAGTTGCACAGAGCACAGCAGACGGTGACAACCTTGTCAATGAATGCACATGATGTAGCTTTATCGTCATGCATGAGGAAAGCAATGGGCAAAGTGCCAGAGAGGATCGTGTATTTCTGGCGAAGCATTCCAATCACTCGCTCCACATGGATACGGACGCGTGACACTTGTCGAGCACTGTCCAATTTCAGCCTGGAGAGTTGCTTCTTCCCCTTCGTAAATGGGGGCATCACCAACTCTGCGCAGAACATGCCAACGCTGTCTCCAACAGTGAAACCACGGTCAGCCAGCACCTGGTCACCCGGATTTAGGTGACTAAGCAGACCGCAGTGCTCTGTGATGAACTTGTCTGAGGCTCTCCCGCCCCATGCATGCGAAATAAATGTAATGACACCTTGTGGCGCTACGCCAATCAAAAACTTTGCAGTGTTATGGCTTTTATAGTGAGAGTATGTTTGAGCTCTTGCCATCAGATCAGAAGTTCGTTCACAAAAAACTTCAAAGCAGTCAATAATGACAGCACAGCCCGGGAAATGCTTACGAAATTCAAGTGGCAGAGTTTTGCGTAGTTCATCCCTTTCCGGCCATTTGACAAGTGGTCCCAGCATCACATGCATCACCCGGATCCAGCGCTGGAAAATCCGGCACACGGTCGACTGGTGAATGCCGAATCTGTACGCCAAGTCTTGGTCCCGACAATTCAGCCGAAGCTTCATGAGAACAATCAAGAACTGCTGGAAGAGAGAGAGCGTGTGGCGGTGGTGCTGTGGAACTCTCTTCCTCACGTGTTCAAATATGCCCATCATGGTCCCAAAAGACTGCAAACCAGTGTAGAAGAGCACCTTCGCGTTGTCTTTCTCAAACGACTCGATTGACAAGGTGTCACCTTGTCCTGGAGCGTGTGGCATCCGTTCGCTTTCCAGGACCAAACAGTTGTTTGTCTCCTCCAGCCGCGTCAAGTGCTCCATATCCATGTCAGTCTGCGATGAGACACTGGAGACTGCTACAGGATCAGACTCTACCTCTGCACCATAGGCACCAGGCAAATCTGCCATTGCCTCTGTGAAGTCATTCCCGGAGGCGTCCACTTTCACTGGTGTCTGCGTCTTGCTCTCCTCGAACGTCAGCTTCCGCTTCGCTCGGCGTTCATATGCCACCAAATCCCTCTCCGCTTTACGCTTTACAGGAGTCCTGACATGTTCAAAAAGTTTCGGAACGTAAGCGGGAGATAGTGGATCGTTGCTCTTCTCTGCGCCTACGAAATGGTCTGAACAGATCCTGCTACTGTCAGTTGGCTTCCAATTCTCTCGTCTCATAGCCGCAACCCATAGTTTGCGCCGCTCGTCCGCTACAGGAAACTTGTAAAACTTCACAGCCGTTCCAGGATCTGCACGATTGCTACATCCGACGGCTGCACAACTCTTCGGCATGTTGAAGGCTAAAAACTTCAGCAAGCGAGACACCAGCGGAAATCAAAATAAAAGTGAGGAACGATATGTCGACAACCAACAACAAATTTTACTTTTCCTCTCAAAGACTAGTAAAAAATAGTTCAAGCAGAAACGACTTCATTTTGCCACCCCCGCCACTCGCAGCCGCCTTGGCGCTCCTCGTGACGTCATTCGCATAACCTCTATACTCTTTCTGACTGTTTATCATAATTATACAATCATGTGTCATGTACATGTACATGTACATGTAGTAGTAGTGGTAGTAGAATTTATTATTTTACTAGGGAATGTAGACCTCTACTACGGCTCTAGATGTTGTCCAAGCAGCACAGTATGAGCGTGGGAGTCACAGTAAGTCACTAAGTGTTCATAAACAGTAGTATTAATACATGTACAGATACATTGCAGCATCAGTCACTGTACAATAACATAGGGTCCAGCGGACTCTGCCGGCAGAAAAATTGGCAGAATTTCATTACTTTTTATGGTAAGTTTCATGCCTGTTTGGTATGTGGATAAAGAAATGGAGCAGAATTCGAGGAATTGCCCGCCATAAGGTTTGTTCTGCCAATTTTACTGCTTTTCGAGCAGAATCTGCCGGTCCCTAAAATTGTAGCATCAGTCAATGTAGAATCAGTCAATGCATTACATTGCATACCCATACTCTGTAGTAATAATACAGATGATGGACCGAGCAAATTAGGTACATTATGTCATTACTTTTCTCATAACGTGTTCCTTTCTGTCATACTACTGAGGGTGTACGGCATTCCTATTCTATGGCAGTGCCCGCTTCATTGAAATTGCCGTATTTGAGTAGGGTTGCAATTTGTTCATCACATTCTTCCTTTCATGCAATTATTTTCACTACTTGAATTGTGTTCTACTCCTCCATGAAGTGCACATTGTGTTTTGTTTGCCCGTGAAAAGAGGCTGTTGTATTGACCGAGCAGTGAAGCACATGGACGTGTCCGGAATACATGTTTGTACATCGTCAGACAGCACTTCAGTAACTCCCTCTAAATCATAATTATCACAATCACCACCTCCGTTGCATACATGTACATGTACATGTAGCTCGCTGGGCATCCCACTGCTTTGTAACTTGCTAATCCCTTCCCCCTTTTGTGTACGTGTGTTTTCATTTTCTTTTCTCTCTTCTTCCGTGGTTGGTCTCACCCTCTCCTCGATTCAATTGGCTGTCTTGACATGCTTTGAGGTGCAAAAATAATAAACAAGTACAACTTAATAAATCAACATGTACATTATACATGTACATTTACATGTACATTTACATGTACATGTACATTTACATGTACATGTACAGTAGTTATCAGATCAAGACTGTACACGGCAGTGCCTTTGGTAAAGATGGGCCCTTCCTTCATCCAGCCACAGTGCATGTGTCATGACCGGGGAGTGGGCCAGACATCCTATCAGGATTCTACGATTCCAGGTTCTTTACGGAAATATACCAGGAGTCCAGATACCCATTCCTCACCCTCACCACACAAGAAGACCAAAGCTTCACTCTAGGACCGAGTAATTCCAAGCAACAGAGAAGCAAGAACAACAACAACAACCACCCATCGACGCAAAGCATCGACCTATATACTGCTATAATTATAGTAGCGTGCAAGCTGAAGGAGCGAAGCGAGCGAGCAGCAAGCCAGCAAAGCATGAATAGTGATAGGTTTCCCAACGCTATTCATAGACGAGACACATCGACGCCACGGCAAACACTTGACAAAGATACATGTAGGAGCAGACGGAATACAATACAGATAGAAACACACGGACACGACATATCCCCCGCCTACGAACATGTTACGTCCTCGTAACAGAAGAAAAGTAACGGCACTGAAAAAGAAAGCAAAATAATAAAACTCTTGAAAACTTGAAAGGAAGGAACCAACCTCTTCCGACCCAAGAACCAAAGAAAACATAATGCGCCAGTCTTGCACAGACTCTCAGCCACAGCAGTGTTAGTAAAATAGGTTATGCCGTTACAACTACGTTCGAACAAGCTATTGGTCAGCCTGCAGGGATTGCTTCTGTGTTACTATCATTATGAACTATTATAATAAGACAAATCAAGACTAGACGGGTGACAAGACCAGAAACGTGTCCAGGAACTGGTAACTGACCCGAACTAACTAGTTACTTCACTTGAAATCCGCGGCTCCCGTTTGCATGTTGCCTTCATCTTGACTTCCTCGATGTACCTCCTCTCCAGCTCTGGCTACGTCCAGCAGTTTATCGTCATGCTCCGGGACGGGCGCGTTGGTGATGGTGCAGGTGACCAACCGCGGTCGCCAGGGTGCAGTTTATCGTCGTACCCAGGACGGGCTGCGGTGTGGTGGCGATGGCTATTGGCAGCGCTCCCTCTCGCTGCCGAGGGTTCGGAATGTTAGTGGCACTGGACATCCTGGCGTGGTCGCCAAATGTCATGACCGGGGAGTGGGCCAGACATCCTATCAGGATTCTACGATTCCAGGTTCTTTACGGAAATATACCAGGAGTCCAGATACCCATTCCTCACCCTCACCACACAAGAAGACCAAAGCTTCACTCTAGGACCGAGTAATTCCAAGCAACAGAGAAGCAAGAACAACAACAACAACCACCCATCGACGCAAAGCATCGACCTATATACTGCTATAATTATAGTAGCGTGCAAGCTGAAGGAGCGAAGCGAGCGAGCAGCAAGCCAGCAAAGCATGAATAGTGATAGGTTTCCCAACGCTATTCATAGACGAGACACATCGACGCCACGGCAAACACTTGACAAAGATACATGTTACGTAGGAGCAGACGGAATACAATACAGATAGAAACACACGGACACGACACATGCCCTAATACCTAGCATTTGACATACATGTACATGTACATGTACATGTACAGTACGGTGGAATCATTGTAGTGTGGAGCACACACTCACTGTGGCAGATCAGAAGACAAGGCAGATTTATTTCAGAGTCGAGAGAAGCAGAAACCGTGAATAGGGAAAGCAAGCCGGCCTGCATGCATTTCGAAACAAGCAACTAATTTACTAAAATTTTGAAAGGATTGGGAGAGCTTCTGATTCTAAAATTAATTCTAATTTACTAAAGCTGACATTTCCACAGCAACAGCACTCAGAGTACGTGTACTGTTGCAATTATTTTAATTAATATCCAAACAGGCGTTTTGGAGAAAGGATTGTAACAATGCGATAAATAGAGCAATTAGTGACGAGATAATACCATGAGACAATCATGAAATGAAAATGATGTATATGTATTATCCTTGTCGGTGGCTGAGCGTTCCCGGGAGATACAATCATGTACCTGTAGGGCAATACTAACCTAAAAGGTCTTGTTGGCTAACGCTGAATGATGGAAATGGGCAAGAAGAGCTGATGCCACCGCCGTGCCGACACTCACCCAAGCAAAAATGAAGCTGATGGAGTAGCGAGAGTCCGGAAGATCACTCAAGCTGGTTTCGTCGATGAAGCCCAGGAATGACAATGCTCCAACGAACATGAACAGTGCTAAGGGAGAAAGAGAAATACAGATTAAAGCCAGAAAGGGAGGTTAATGTTTTTGTCGAAGTACAGTATTAGATAACCACACCATTCACTGATAGTATGGCTCAGCTCTCTGCTCACATTTACATGTGCATGTACATGTACAAATTAATGTACATGAAAATGTACATGAAAATGTACATGAAAATGTACATGAAAATGTACATTTACTTGACAAGTACGCACATTACTGTTGTCTTCAAATATGATTGCCTATGGCCATGAAACTATTACATGTACAATGTAGAGGGGACGGCTCGATACTGGGACGTTTTGACAGCCAAATTTGTATAGACCCAAACCGATCATCAGCGTTGATTTTTCACTCGAAATATGTTTGTGGAAGGAAACTGGCATGTTGAAGTTTGCTCTGGGGCCAGAGTCAATCGAACTGAGCCACTCCTTCGTGTTGACCCATTGCCTCCAAGTTGCCCAATTTTTCGCTTCAAAAAAGTTCAAATCAGAGGTGGCTCCAAACCGGACACGTTTTAGAGTGCACGTCAAATTCACTCTGGGTCTGAAATTAGGTAATTGCTATCGCTCCACGACGGCCAGTACAGAGTAACAATAAGCCTTGTGTGTGCTTCCATTAGTTTTGATTGGTATGCGGTGCTTTATTGGCGAGAGGCGAGCCGCTGTTTACCTGCGACAAGAAGTTGATTCTTCGAAAGTCGTAAAACTCAAGTCGCAGTGCGAAGCAACACGTCAAAAACTCACCTGCTTGATATGGCGCTTCTGGTCATCGCAGAGCCATGAAATTTTGGCTCGGAGTATAACACATCGTAGTCTCACTGTGACATATGTTTTCTAATCAAAATACCAAGAGAGAAAGTGAATATTGAGTCCGTTCCGGTTTGCAACCGGTGTCCTATTTGAAACCGTCCCCTCTACATGTAGTTACTACTTACAACGAATGATGCGTGATGCTCTGGGTCTTGTGTAACGTAGCTCTATTCGAATGAATATTGAGCACTCTCTCATTTGCATGTACATGTAAATGCACGTTCTGCGACATTTTCTATCATGTACATGTACATGTGCATGTACATGTACATGTACATGTATAATGTATATGTACATGTATGTACATGTACATGTACATTGTATAGCCAAGAACTAACTGTTGCTTAAGTACCGGTACATTGAAGAATGCCACACCCAACTGGCAACGACGAAATAAAAGGATCACTAGCAACCATTATCCTGTTAGACGGTACTGGTACTACATTGTACATGTATCTGGCTCCATTCCTAGGACCAGCAACTACAGTGGCCTCTCAAGAGACCTTACAAACGTGGTCTCCGTGTACAGGTGGTCTCATTATCCAGGGTCAATTGACTGGAAATACATGTACATGTAGCATCCCTTGGCCCTAGTTGTAGCGGTCCTCTACGACAGGTGGTCGTCTTATCAGAGTGGTCGCATTGGCAGGTTTCACTGTACGTATACAATACTCAGTACATTGTTGACCATAGCACTGCACTTACCGGACAGGGCCAACAGTACCCGGGGTATTCCCAGCAGCATATCCGGTTTGACAAGGCCTAGCTCCATGACGAAGATCAGGACTGCAGCAGTACAGGAGAAGATTGTGGCCAGCACCGAAAAGGCCTGCGCACTTCGCAGCGATCCTGTAGAGGGAAAATCCGATCGGACGAGTGACGTCAGAGACAGAGAATTATTCTGCATGCAGTAAGTTTGAACGTTTTGAAAGATATAGTTTCCAGGATCAAAAGCTGGGTATGTGAAGATAGTAAAAAACAAAACAAAACCTATATAAAGTAATAATAATAAAGGAAAAAGGAAAAGAAAAGGGGTGCTAGTATACTATTACTAAATCTATCACGCAAGAACTGTCGCACAAGGATTCATTTGTGCATGGCGGCGGGCTCTTTGCTGGGCTGATCTGATCCTCCGCATTATGTAACCATGGTCCATCAGAGCACAACAGTGATAATGATTATGTCTAGCAGAGCAGACCACTGATTAGGTGGATACTGATCAGGGAGTACTTGCACACATCATACAGCTGTACATGCACATGGAATGGGTTTTGCGTTAAAGCTCATCTGGTTATTTGACCAAGTCATGACCGTTTCCAGAATACTGTTGAACGTATCGATCGCCTGTGGTACATTGCGCCTAGACAGCGGCTTACCCGGTGGTGACCACGTTTCTATCAAAATATATATTCAGTGTGGATGGCTGTGCATGGTATTGAATTTTTCCTTTCATTCGACCGTAGTGGGTTGATAATGTTCCGAATCACACAATACATAATGTTTGACATTATACCTAGACAGCTGGCTAAGTACGCCGTGGTGAACACGTTTCGATTGATATTATTCAGTTTGGATGGCTGTGCATGGCATTGAATTGTTCCCTTCACATTAATTTTTTAAACGAGTGTCCTTTCCAGGGTTACCGTACTCGCGCGATTAGTGTCCATGGGGCACTATTTTTTCAATGTCCATCACAGATGGGGTATTATTCAAGAGAGGGAACTATTCAAGAGAGGGCACTATTCAAGAGAGGGCTTTATCTTTTCACTGGCTCTTAGAGACTGGTGCACTATTCCAGAGAGGGCTCTAATCGCGCGAACACGGTATTAAGATTGCTTCTTCTGCAGTACAGACTACAGTACATTGCATTACCATTGACGTCAATGCCTGGCCTATCCTTCAGTAGACTAACACAGCGCCTCACATCCCTTGTTACGCAAAGTCGCCAGATGCCGATCTCTGCGCGTGCCGACTCCACTTCATACCACTCAGGTTTGGCTGTGCAGGCAGGAATACAGAACACAGTATGGAACGCTGATAATGCTTACCCTCGTCGGCAGAGAGAAAGTGTTCCTTGTGTCCGAGGTACATTGTACTTCTTATCCCCACATGCCTCAGTATGGACCACTGCACGAAGTGATGCGAATAACTACCCCCTCCCCCCCCCCCCCCCCCTCCCGACCTGCGTGAAACAAATAGCAAGCATGCGTTTAAATCAATGGCGTCTAGCCTCATTCTATCATCCATATGCTCCTGTGAGTAGCTCACACTGCACCCCATCATAACCCCATCCCTCTGCAATGTGTTGGCTTCCTCACTGGCTAGACTAATTTTATATGATTCTGGACTGATTTGAATCACAATTATCTTCCTTATTGGCCATGGGCCATCGTGGAAATAAAGAATAACAATAAAGAATAATAACCTCATCAATGCCACGGCCAACACCTGATTCTGGCAGAAAGTATTGACATACTGCTACCTACATCCGGGTTCGACATTGACGAACTTTGCTGGGTGATGCAGAGCTGACTTGCTCTCTCCCAATTACACTGCAGTCATCCAGCTCCTTTTCTTCCGCGGACTTGATGAGGGCACTTTTGACGAACCGTTGTCACTGATAACTGTCCGAAGAAAAGGAGGTGGATGATTGCAGTGGAATTGTGAAGGAGCTGGCAGACTTTTTCCGTTCCTGACTCTATTTATCTGTATGAGAGTCTAGCTTTAAGGGGAAAGTGACATTGCGTAACCTGTATGAAGCTGCAGCAAACCTCACCCCTAGTTACGTAGGCATGTTTTTATTTGAATTCGCAGCACCAAACGGGCGGTGTTGCCCAATTACGCGGAAGCGAATGGAAACAATTTCTACTCTAGTTTAACGGCAAGTAAAATGTGATATTGCGTAACCTATAGGGATGTTTCCGTTCGGACGTACATTGTAAGTTGCCTGGCAAGAGCGTGATTTTGAAACAGCTCTCGGTAACTGTCCGTTGCTCTTCACTTACCATTCGACGCCATCATGAGCCAGATCGTCACCAGCACCAAGACATTGAGGCCATGTCGTATCAGCAGAGGGTGCACCATACTCATAGGTTCGCAGGGACGGCCGAGATCTTTGTTGGAACTTGGAAGTCACTGAATCTTCTCCGAATGCGAGCCGTACATCTGAATCTGGGCGATGCTAATGATTGTGATGAAGATCTAATGGTACTCTGGATTCCTTTATCCACTCGGTGCCTGGAAACCTGAAGTAACTTGTGAATGAAACTGCGACATTACCGGACTGAGAACTGTAGCTCTTCAGGAAGGCCGCTTTATACATGCTCGACGCGTTAGGCTGTGGCATAAGTCCACCAGCGCTGCAGCGTGTTGGTGTTTCCTATCGGCACACGGTGCATGGTATGTCATACATGTACATTTATGTACGCCTGTGCCTCAACTTCTCAAGTGAGGCGCCTCCACTGCTTCTTTAATTCTTGCATCAGGAATTCCCCACTCCCTCCCCAGTCACATAAATAATTCCATACGGTTGCCTGATAAAATGAAGTTGCCTGATGATCGTAGTAATACGTGAAACTCAGAGTTGTAACTAAGCTTCCAATCTCTCTCTTGTGTACAAGGCTCTGCCCTACATGGGTACTATTGAGCACTCTTCGGACAGTGAAGCACACCACTTGACTACGTAACTTCCATACGTGCATTGCACTTGAATTGGGAACCTACAGTATGCAGTATTATGTACAATGGTCATGGATGCACAAGAAGGCACACTTGTTTGCAGTCGTTTCGCGCAGCAGGAAAACTAAATTTAATACTGTCCACTCATCCCACGCAAGTAAGTTGTAATTTCAAGTACTTCATGTACATAATATACATTCATTTCAAGTACATGCCTACCTCCCCAGCCAGGCCCAGCCCTGGTCCTGAACATGTACATGTACATGTATGGGTATGCAGTGCTACGGCCATGGCAGATGTACTGCATTTTGCCAGATGTAAAGTATTCGCGGTACACCCTTTAGACCACTCTTGATTGGGTACATCCTGGGTACAGTAGTACAGTCTTTGCTCAGTACTCATCGTTAAACGGCCTCTGGGGAATCCTTGAAATACATTGTATCAAGAGTACATGAAAACATGTGAAACATGTACTCTTGATTGTACATACATAGCGTGTGAGCTGAGTAATATGGGTAGTGACGCTTCAAGTCAACTACAGTGAAACCTGTCTAAGACGACCGCTCAAGGGACCTTCAAAACGTGGTCTCTGTTACCAGGTGGTCTTCTTATCCAGGGTCATTTGACTGGAAATAGCATCCCTTGATCCTGGTTTCAGTGGTCTTCTTGGACAGGTGGTCGCCTTATCCAAATGGTCGCCTTGACATGTTTTACTTTATTATACATTGTACAGTAACACCTGTCAAAGCGACCACTCGGATAAGGCGACCACCTGTCCCAGACGACCACTGCAGCCTGGACCAAGGGATGCTATTTCCAGTCAAATGACCCTGGATAAGGAGACCACCTGGTTACAGAGACCACACTTTGAAGGTACCTTGAGCGGTCGTCTTACACAGGTTTCACTGTACATGTACATGACTGTATGTCTACAGGCCCTGAGTGAGGGAGTCCGACTCGCTCTGCTATCTTCTCATCAGTGAGCCTGTCCTGCGGCCACTGTGGCGAGCGGGATACACCGAGGATAAGACGGCTGCACGCGCGAGCACACACGCAAACACATACACACACACACACAAACACGCACACACACATACTTTCTGTACGTACACGCACATAAACCCACACGTTCCACACGTTCACACTACTGTCCCTGCCACTTCACACTGTGACCTGTGTACAGCATATACCATGTACATAGTCATTGTACAACATCACACACCGATCAGCGACGCCACCTTCCTATTTTTGCGCCGAGCATTGGCACCAGATGCCCGCAATAAGCCAACACTCACTTCCTGCAGTGAATAAGACCACGTTATACTCCAAAATATCTTTAGTCAGTCTCCTCGCTGTTGCGCTGTTGCAAGCATGACCCTCTGAGTTGAGGATTTGTTTGTCTGTTTGTTTGCTTCGCTGGTCTTACGCTTATACAGAAGCTCTGTACATCGCCCATAGATGATAGAGCTCTCTGACTAGTAGTAGTCAGGGTTCTTCTGAGTACATCAATTATTTAAAGTCCATCGGATTTATAATGTGCTTAGGACTCCAGCTGGTCGCCGCGCGCTTCTTGCGCATGCTGCACTAGTGACCATGGTGACTCGTTGCAGATTTTGTTGCACGCACTGGACCACCTCCTGACTCATACGCACACCACCCATGGAGGAATCTACGAACAACTGGCTATAGCTGTTTCTACCGTCCTTGCAAGGTCTCATCAGCGGAGCTCAGAGTGATTGGGGAAAAAACGATTGCAACGAAGTCCAAAGGACAACGTCAAGGATCTAACTGTGTGGACATCCATGAGGTGATTATTGTTTGTGTTTAAAAACCCAAGGAACACGGTCATAGAGTAGAAACTGCTGTAGTACCAGGGGCGTCGGAACCGGTGCGGCAGGTGCGGCCAAAGCCGCACCAATAATTTTGGAAGTTTTTTTTTTTTTTTTTTCATTTTCAACCTTGTTGATGGCATGTCGACACTTGTACAGGTACCATGTTTTACATCGACAATGCGGTGTGTCATCAGCATGCATATTCTTATTTCTCATATTATTCTGTAGCATTAAAATAATGGCCTTTTAGGCCCAATTTTAAAAAAAAATCCCGGGGGAGGACCCCCGGACCCCCCTCTCACACTTTCGCCGCACCAATGTTGAACTGCTTCCGACGCCCCTGAGTACTTGACAAGTGCAATCATACATGTATGGTTAATTAACGCAATGCGCAGCCCTTGACATGCGAACATTGGGTCGCGGAATGGCACAAAGCGCTCACTTGCGTGACGCGACTGGATTTCATCGAGCAGCACTGTACATGAATCCATACATCCTGTACACACACCTTGTACACACTCTCTCTAACGGTCTCTAGGCTACACTGCAATTGATATACATTAGATCAAATTTTCGGGCAAGGCCCATCATCAGCATTGTACATGCATAATCTATAGTAGTCCATCAGCCAGTGGTGCCAAAGTGAGTCCCCTGTTGCACTTACAAATCGAACACCTGGAACTGACATCAATCGACAGCAAAAGCATCACTGAATCCGACCTGCCTACTTTCCCTGGCGAAACTCTTGCACTCCTTTTGCAGTGCGCCTTGGAAGTTCGACAAATTTCTTCTTCTTCATCAGCCATTACGAGGTTTTCAATCCGTTTTATCAGGACATCCAATGCGTCTTCAGTGAAAAACGTGGAGTTTTGTCAACGTTTGGTGTGGTTTTCCGTGGCGATCGACCTAAAATCGCGAAATAAATCGCCGTCGATTTGAGCAGAGGTGAGTTGGCTTGGAGCACGTACAGATTCAAAAAATATGTGTACATGCGCACCGGGAAGAAGATGAAGATGCTCTCCATTTTCAAATAACTAATTCAAAAAACTACATGACTATTGTACTGCAATTGTTGTAGTTACTTGTTTGCAACTACAATGGTATCAAGTAGATAATCAAGCGAGGTACAGAGGGATTGATGGCTGATCAAAGCCCAAGGGACCAGCCCGAGGGCTTTGATCAGTCATCAAGCCCGACTGTACCTCGCTTGAATATGCTTCAGACGATCCCCAACAATTTTTTGATTTTGAATTCAATCGCTTTATTCTTTGGGTGATCTCGAGTGTGGTAGATAGTACTTCGAAGTAGTACAACTGTAACTGTACTACTACCTGGTTGCAACAAGCTCAAAGCAGCCTTGCCTTTATTTCAACTGTTTGCTGTCAGGATCCAGAGCCATGGCGTTTGCTAGTTGGTCGTAATGGAGAAGAGAACTGCAGGGCATTCACTCGATGTACAACATGCATCGCCGCAGATTCCTTACTTTTAGCTCTCCACGTTCCTTATTTTTCCAGGGATCAGGACCTTCCCGGGGTGATTCCACTCAGGGTGGAAGCGTAGATCACTTTTGCCAAACAGTGAAAACTACGCTTCAAACCTGCTTGACATGACTCGGGGTGCATACTTCGGAAACCCGAAGGTGGATGATGTTCAATACTAGCTCATTGTAATCTTCCTGAAGGTATGTATTCGGATGCTCAATTAAATAGAACAGTGAAAGAGATATGTAATGGAACAACACTCTACAAGTAGGCGAACAACAATTTTATTGTAATTTGAATCCAGGCACACGTGTAATACGGAAACTGCAATGGTTTACACTGCAAATCTTCTCGATTTGCAAGGTTTTTCCCGTAATTCACAAAATCTGAAAGTTCATTCCTGAAACGCGCATGGCACTGATTGGAGATTGGGTTTAGGTCACAACAATGGCTGTCGATGAAGTGCCAAAAATGGTCACTTTGTCGGCTTCCCCCTGCAGAGCGTGCAAGTCGTTTACTCTTTTTATTTGCGGATTCGGTGTACAGGGTACCTAAACTCCCCATTGAGGCCAAAATCAAGTATTCGATTTCTAAGTGCAACAGGGTGCTTGAATTTGACGACTTCTGAGTTCTTGGCTGATGGACTATAGGGGTGAAACGGTTCGGGTAAGGAACCGGTTTTGGAACCGCCAGCTGAAAATAATCGGGTACGAGGTGATTTGTAAAAATTTTACATGGCATATTATTTTACAAATCGAGTAAAATATCATTGTTGAGGGCGATTGCGTTCTTCCCCTGAAGTGTTCTTGTTAGTTCGACAGACAAGTCAGTTGCCATTGTATTGTAGTTTGTAAGCATCAGCAGCGTTTGGCGGAATTGTTTTCTTCCACGGCCTTGTGAGACATCAGTCATGGATCGAAATTCATGAATTTGTGGTCAATGAGGTAAAATATCCCTCAATGGATGCTTGAAGGACGTCCAAGAGCCAGCGAGCATATTCTACGGCAGGTGGAAACCCTAGGCTGGTCACCGATGCCAGTATTGAGTCTGTCACACCATCAAAGTAGCAGGGCTGAAGAAGAGATTAGCCAAAAAGGTGAAGGTCAGAAACTGCAATTTTGACAAAAGGTGTCTTTCACTCACTTATCATGAAAGGTGATTCAAATCCAAGTCCGAAGCTGCTGATGCTTATGGCATACAGGTAAATAATTAGCCGTTCAGTAGACCTGCGTATGGAACTCAGCTTGCTACCTCAGAAGTGCTGGTAGAGATTCACGATGGCAAACGGTGCAAATGCAGGAAATGCAGCATGAATGTATGTTGGGTGTTGACGGCAGAGCACCCATTGAGGGTGGTCTGCAGTCTTCTTCCAACACAGAAGTATATGAATCAAGTGAAGGAGTCACTGCACTTGTCTTGGAGAGTATGGAAGCCCCGACATTGTCAGTATGTGCCGGTTAAATGCACTGTGGCCCAGATGCACGAAGGCACCCTGTCGTGGGACTGCTGGCGCGCATCATGGATGGTATCTTTGCTTATTATGGTTATTTCACGCATGAGGATGCACTGCAAGTTGAAAGAAATGAAGCAGCAAGATAAGGTCTGCGTGCTCATGCTCCACAATGCCGGCAGGCGCTCAAAGATACCCTATCGTTTTGAACCGCAATTGACGACGTGCAGAAACCAATACGTTGGGCAACCTGCAAAACCAGTCTGCTTTCTCTGCATGTGATTTGCTTCAGATGTATCTTGATTTCCCATTGCAAGCTTATTGACACATTTAGGTCATTTTTGTTGATGTTAGACCCTATTTTACTGACTTGTAAAATTTTGTACACACTTTTTCCGGGTGAAAAAATGCATGCAAAGCAACCCCACACTGTGTCTCTCATGTTTGTGGTGTTCGATCAAGAAGTCCATAGGTGGATAGAGGACATACATAGTGACAGAATGAGACCATGCACACTTCAAAACTCGCCAGGGCAACGGAATGATAGCCTTTTTTACTTTTATGTAAAATTATTACAAATCACCTCGTACCCGTTCCGTCAAATTTCGAACCGAAACTCGAAAAATCTCGTTCTCGTACAAATACACGTACACGTCAAGTCTACTCGAGCCTTGTCAAGGTTTAAATGTCTTTTTTTTTTTACCTTACAATCACCGCTCTTCCAAAGGGTTCTCCTGGTCATCTTCTTCGCACGTACACATGGTACATGGACTCTCCGATGTCTCGTTCTTGCTCGTAAAAATGTTTTCTAAAAAATAATTGTCACGAACGCATTTTGTCGGTCTGGAGAAAAGAGTGCATGGAGCCGATACCCGAACCGTGGAAAGCTATGCTGGCGTTCGGGTACCCGAACATGAAAAACATGGAACCGTTTCACCCCTACGTCAGCAAAGGTATCCGGTACGTTTATCCCAACATGCGGTGCCAAGAGACTTCCACCTACTCTGCTCTCGATTATGTTATCCTCCCTCCAGAGTTCAGTGCTGACTGCACACATGCACAGATAAAACGTGGGGTTGGCCCATGATCATTTCAGAATAAAGGGAAACTCCCAAGTACCTCTTCTGATAGGGAAACACGCGTGCTTACAGTAAGGTCACTGTCCAGAGCACGATCGATTTGATCCATACACTGAACTGAAGTGTGTAATGTAATGCGATGCACAGTAAAACTCCGCAGATGCGCAAATCAACTACTCTAGAGTCCCCAAAATTGCCATTTCAACAAAAAAAAAAAAGCCCCAACACAATACTGCACTGACTGGCATCAAAATAATCTTTTCTGCATGGAGGAAGTATGTACGGTACATGTAAGTTGTGAGTTACGGGCAATTCCTAGTTACGGCAGTGCTCGGTTCCAACCAGGGAGTAGTACAATACCCGGTATTGTACTACTCCCTGGTTCCAACCTGCCCGGATTATGGGAATTTGACTGTACTGGATACTACGAAGTTGAAGTACGAACACACTCCCCCTGGCCCTGTGCATATGGGTACGTCCCAGTATATCTGAGTTGTTGTGTGCCCGTTTGCTGCAGTTACATGATTGTATAAGGCACTGCCGCTTCACCACGCAGAAAGCTTGTACATCACGAGTACATAACCCCAAGAGTGTGCAAGTCTAGCTATGGCCCTATGGGGTCTCTTCGATGGCAGAACTTCATATCACCAACCCTCTGGGGGTCACATTGCACTGGTACATGGTTGCCAGTGTAACCTTTTGAATCGTGTCACGTGATGTGAAGTTCTGCCCTCACAGCATTGCATAGAGGTAGAGGTTTCGCAGGGAGTTGCACACTATTAGGGACCGGCGGATTCTGCTCGAAAAGGTGGCAGACAGATTCTGCTCGAAAAGCAGTGAAATTGGGAGAACCATACAAACCTTATGGCGGGCAATTCCTCGAATTCTGCTCCATTTCTTTATCCACTTACCAAACATGCATGAAACTTACCAGAAAAAGTACCGAATTCTGCCAATTTTTCTGCCAGCAGAATCCGCCGGACCCTACACACTATTGGGGTTAGGTATGTACTCCTGAGTGTATCCACAGCCTCTAGCTAGGGTGATGAAATTCTAGCTTACAAAATAGGACTTATTCCTGCAGAAGGTAATAGGGAGGTTTCGCTCTACGGAATTACGTATGAAAATAACGTAGGAACTGCACGTAGTTTTCATACGTAAAAATGAGCGCCGCTGGGTTTCGCTCTACGTGATTTCTCCACGACTGCTAAACAGGCATGGTTGCTTTGGAGACGCGTTGGCTGCATGCGCCCACCGCATGCTCCACGAACCGAAACCGCGCTTCCATTTTATTTTGCATGTGGTGTACGGTGTATGTACCTTGTGTTTCGCGCGGCTTGCCAGCGTTACCATGGATAAATCCGGAAATGCGAAAAATATTTCAAAAAATCCTACGGAGGACCCAACGTAGGAAAGAGCTTTCCTACGGAAATCCGTAGAGAGATTCACGTATGAAAGTTGCCCTCGCTCCCCGGCGCGTACGACATACGGATTTTCATACGTAATTACGTAGAGCGAAACCTCCCTAAGATCAGGACTAGGCTTCTATCAAACCAGGTAATTCTGTGGTATAGACATGTACACGCATGTCAACACTGAACTGATCAGGCCGCTCTCATGACACTGTACCTTGAAACCCAGGCTTGTACTCAACGCAGATTTATAATTATATACAGTGCTGGCAACTGAAATCCGACCCCCTGAGCGGTGCGCTCACATCGCAAAGACCCAACACGGGATGGTAAAACTACGAAACAGAGACCGCTGGAATGTGAACCCATCGCTCATGGGGTCGGATTTCAGTTGCCAGCACGGTATGATGACAGGATTGAACACAATAGACTACTACTGTCACGGTACAGTGTGGGAATGAGAAGAGTTATGTCCATTCACAACGCAACTATCGGATTTTTGTTCTAAGCATTTGCAAACTTTCATTTCTGTCATTTACATATCGTTCTACCCTGTCTGATCAAGGCACTCACACGTGGTCTCTCGGCTGCAAACTTCACTCTCATCCAGCAATTGGTCAGGCATGGCCCATCAGCCGAGTGAATTAGTCAAGCTGTGGCCACTCGAGAGTGTTTGGTCTGAAAATACTAATGTACAACTTCACAAGTAAGATAATAGTCTGCAAGTATGCCGAATGAACGTTGACATAGGGTTTATCTGAACATTGCAGTTCTCCCAAGTGTCAACAGCAATCGGAGTGCACACCTGTTCCGGAGTCAGCATGACCCCGATATCACTATGGTAACGAATATCTGGAAACTGAATAGAATAATGTCATACGTAGCATGGCGAGCCCTTCGAATGGATTGGGTGTCCCATTGAAAGGCTAGTTCACCAAACGCTTATACTCGGTCAATTCTTCTGTCTAGCTCATCTCTTTGCAGGCCACGGCTCAACTGGCGTGAACGCAAAGTGCTCATAATCGTCGTCATCCATCACCATACTGGATGAGTGGCTCTCCGGATTCGAGATCACCGAATTGAGGAGGCATGGCAGAACGCTGCTGTGTTTGGAGTAATGCTCGAGTAGCGATGGTAAGTCGGCAAACACCTGGTCACCTTTGTCCTGTAGGGTCAGCACACACAAACAAGACATATGAAAAAATTCTATGCTGGGATGGAAATGACTATTACTGTAGTATTGGAACATTCCTTCCCTTGCCTTTTTTATAGTCAAATTCAAGAATGTGTATGCTTTGGGGACTTTCTCGTATAGCAAGCTGTGATTAGAGAGGTTAAGGTGCACGTTATTTCCGACGTGACGCGCAATTTCATGTCAAATTTGGCGTAAAACTCCAATCTTCGACGTGAGTTGCAGGCCACTTGCATTGTTTTTCGACGCGAACTTTCGCGTCACGTCAGAAATAACATGCTCTCTATTGTGTAGTAGCCAGGACCCTACGTTGTCGCAGGTGCAACCCAGGTTCAAATTCGTCTCCTATGACACATCGTTCACTTGGCAATATAGCCAACGAAAAAGAAAAAAAGATGAAAGTGTGCTGCGACCAGGATTTGAACCTATGTTAGTTACTACAGCCACAACGTATAGCCAGGGAAAAAGAAAAAAGAAGAAAAAAGTGTGCTGTGACCAGGATTCGAACCTGGGTTACTACGGCCACAACGTAGGGTCCTAACCACTAGACGATCACAGCTTGCTATAGGAACACACGATCCTCAAAGAATACACAAAGAGTTAACTATCCAACAAGTACAACAATTAATTGAGTACTTCAGCTGCGGTGTGCCTATGACTACAGATGGATATGAGATTCACCAACAGCCACCCACGCACTCACAACAACAAAACCACACAGTAGCTTTACAGAAATTACAAGAATAGTAAAACCTGTGACTAACGACCACACCTTGGGGCCAGAGAAAGCCGTCTTCAGTGGCAGGTGGTCCTTAGTTAGAGGTTTGCACCGCACGACCATAATGAATGTGAGATTGTCCGTGCGTGGCGAAGTGGTCTGTAGTACCAGGCTGGTCGCAAGTCACGGTGGTCTATAGTTACAGGTTTTACTGTAGTACCAGGCTGGTCGCTAGTCACGGTGGTCTTTAGTTACAGGTTTTACTGTATTTTTTGTATTTATATCATTATCTCATGGCACATCATGATGACGGCCAATAAAACTGAGACAAGGGTGAAAGCCAACCACAGCAGTAAAACAGATAAAAGAATACAAATAAGAGGCAAAGAAGGCAAAGGAGGAGACAAACCAGCAGGATATACATGAAACCTATAATTAAGCAGAGATTTTAGCAACAAAATTATCCATCGACGTGCTGGTCTTGGCCTGCGTTGGTAATGTTGCCCAAAACACATAGCCAGCAAAGATCGGGGATCTAGTGAATAGGGTGGAGGCAGCGCGTGGGAGACTGAGTGAGTTCCGGGTGTTCCGTGTTTCGGAGAACCAATTATAAGCCTGCATATGCAAGGGTATTTTATTTAGTAATATTTTATGTATGAGAACCCAGAGGTGGTACTTATGTCGAGTGGAAAGGGGACTGATCTTGGCAATTTCGTAAAGACTAGCGGAGGGAAAGCGACGATCTTTGCTAAATAAGATTTTAAGGAGCATGCGGTTATGGGTTTCTAGCTTGTTCAATACAGTAGTAGTTATGCCACACCAAGCAGTATCACAGTAGTCAAGTAAGGGCAATATATAGCAACGATAAAACAAGCGTTTGCAAGAAAGAGGAAGATGTCTACAGTGGGCTTGAAGAGCCCCAAGGATGGAGCTTGTGCGCTTGCAGACATACTGCACATGGGGTGACCACGACAATTTAGAGTCAATAATAACGCCAAGATGCTTATGCTCTTCAACAATGCGAATAGCAACACTTGAAGAAGGAAAACAAAGTGGCAGGGAAGGGGGAGAAGGGGAAATGTACATAGCTGCCGTTTTATCAACGTTTGGCTGCAACTTCCAATCATGCATCCAGTGTAGTACCAGGCTGGTCGCTAGTCACGGTGGTCTTTAGTTACAGGTTTTACTGTAGTATCAGGCTGGTCGCTAGTCACGGTGGTCTCTAGTTACAGGTTTTACTGTAGTACCAGGCTGGTCGCTAGTCACGGTGGTCTTTAGTTACAGGTTTTACTGTAGTACCAGGCTGGTCGCTAGTCACGGTGGTCTTTAGTTACAGGTTTTACTGTAGTACCAGGCTGGTCGCTAGTCACGGTGGTCTTTAGTTACAGGTTTTACTGTAGTACCAGGCTGGTCGCTAGTCACGGTGGTCTTTAGTTACAGGTTTTACTGTAGTACCAGGCTGGTCGCTAGTCACGGTGGTCTTTAGTTACAGGTTTTACTGTCCTAATTATTATTATTATTATTATGAAATGACCCAAAGGCAATGTGCCTATCGAGGGGTTCATTTGATTGAAAGGACAGTAGATGTAGATGTATGTACAAAGAGAAGTAGGGATTGATGAGGAGAGAAATGGGGAAAATCAACTGCAAGGTGGCGGAATTCCGTTGATTGCATAAGCATAGTCAGCTGTAAATTTCCTGAGGGCAGCTTTGAACTTATAGAGCGAGGCTTCCGATGTTAGACTGGGGGGTAAACAGTTCCATAGAATAGCAGTTCGGAACATGAAGAGAGACTTAGACAATGATTTAAATTTGGGAAGAATGATTTTATTTGGTCGTCGCTCACTATTCGTAATCTTGAAATGGAAATCAGCAAGGTAATCACGATGATGGAAAACATATCTGTGAAAAGTAGTGAGACTGATGATTTGACGACGATAGGCTAGTGACTCTAGGGAGCATTTAGTACCAGGCTGGTCGCTAGTCACGGTGGTCTTTAGTTACAGGTTTTACAGTAGTACCAGGCTGGTCGCTAGTCACGGTGGTCTTTAGTTACAGGTTTTACTGTAGTACCAGGCTGGTCGCTAGTCACGGTGGTCTTTAGTTACAGGTTTTACTGTAGTACCAGGCTGGTCGCTAGTCACGGTGGTCTTTAGTTACAGGTTTTACTGTAGTACCAGGCTGGTCGCTAGTCACGGTGGTCTTTAGTTACAGGTTTTACTGTAGTACCAGGCTGGTCGCTAGTCACGGTGGTCTTTAGTTACAGGTTTTACTGTCCTAATTATTATTATTATTATTATGAAATGACCCAAAGGCAATGTGCCTATCGAGGGGTTCATTTGATTGAAAGGACAGTAGATGTAGATGTATGTACAAAGAGAAGTAGGGATTGATGAGGAGAGAAATGGGGAAAATCAACTGCAAGGTGGCGGAATTCCGTTGATTGCATAAGCATAGTCAGCTGTAAATTTCCTGAGGGCAGCTTTGAACTTATAGAGCGAGGCTTCCGATGTTAGACTGGGGGGTAAACAGTTCCATAGAATAGCAGTTCGGAACATGAAGAGAGACTTAGACAATGATTTAAATTTGGGAAGAATGATTTTATTTGGTCGTCGCTCACTATTCGTAATCTTGAAATGGAAATCAGCAAGGTAATCACGATGATGGAAAACATATCTGTGAAAAGTAGTGAGACTGATGATTTGACGACGATAGGCTAGTGACTCTAGGGAGCATTTAGTACCAGGCTGGTCGCTAGTCACGGTGGTCTTTAGTTACAGGTTTTACAGTAGTACCAGGCTGGTCGCTAGTCACGGTGGTCTTTAGTTACAGGTTTTACTGTAGTACCAGGCTGGTCGCTAGTCACGGTGGTCTTTAGTTACAGGTTTTACTGTAGTACCAGGCTGGTCGCTAGTCACGGTGGTCTTTAGTTACAGGTTTTACTGTAGTACCAGGCTGGTCGCTAGTCACGGTGGTCTTTAGTTACAGGTTTTACTGTAGTACCAGGCTGGTCGCTAGTCACGGTGGTCTTTAGTTACAGGTTTTACTGTAGTACCAGGCTGGTCGCTAGTCACGGTGGTCTTTAGTTACAGGTTTTACTGTAGTACCAGGCTGGTCGCTAGTCACGGTGGTCTTTAGTTACAGGTTTTACTGTAGTACCAGGCTGGTCGCTAGTCACGGTGGTCTTTAGTTACAGGTTTTACTGTAGTACCAGGCTGGTCGCTAGTCACGGTGGTCTTTAGTTACAGGTTTTACTGTAGTACCAGGCTGGTCGCTGGTCACGGTGGTCTTTAGTTACAGGTTTTACTGTAGTACCAGGCTGGTCGCTAGTCACGGTGGTCTTTAGTTACAGGTTTTACTGTAGTACCAGGCTGGTCGCTAGTCACGGTGGTCTTTAGTTACAGGTTTTACTGTACACTCATAGCTCTTTTATCCGGGTGGTCCGGGACCGGGTAGTGCCAATAACTTTGGGATGTCCATAACTCTGAATCACATACATTTTGATGGGGAAAGGTCATACATATGGCATGTGACGTCACCATTTCCACAAAAGATGACGAAAAGAGTAGTAATATTTCCACTGGAACTCGGGCAAGGGGTAAACGGAAGTGCTCGTATAACGTTATTCGGGGTCCGGATAACCGAGGTATAGTTGTTCTTTGAAACACAAGATCATGTGACACAGCAATGCAATGCAGTGTGTGCATTGTCCTTTACGACACCTCCCTCCGACTACATGTGTAGCGTGCATTTCAATATCACCGGTCATGTTGGTCATTCACACACAGGCAACGAACACAGTCATAATAACTTTGTACAGTACAACCTGTAATGGCGACCACTCGACCATGGCGACCACTCGACCATGGCGACCACTCGACCATGGCGACCACTCGACCATGGTGACCACTTTTCTTTGTCACGGACACATTCACATTCAAAACAGCTCGGATAAGGCGACCACTCGCTCAACGCGACCGACGACCATCCACCCGCGACCGCGTTGCACCCTGCTAGCACATGTAAATGCACGCATTGCATGGAGCACCAGGCATGGTAGATCTACACATCAGTGCAGGAAGTGTAGATGTACATGGTGCATGCACGAAACTTGACAGGTTTGAGGACCCCAGGCACATGAATCGTGCTAGAGTAGCATACATGTAGGTGTGTGCAATGTGATGCACTGATCAAAATGATAATATCCACATGTCGTAATACATGTCACATATTATGTCACATGTATTATGACATGTGGATATGGTCACGTGACCCACTGAACCCGGATAAGAAGACCACCTGGCCACGGCGACCACTTTTTCTCGTCCCTTGAATGGTCGCCTTAGACAGGTTTCACTGCAGTTCAAAGCAACACTACTGTATTAAAGTCAACACATATTCGGCGCATATTCATTTTCGGCTATTTTCGGCCTGGTCATGTTTGGCCGAAAGTTTGTGGCCGAAATGTTGTGATGCCAGATTCAGTGTGACAGCGGATACAGACGGCAGCAGAACAGGCCGACAATTTGATGGGACTGAAATGGGTTTTAGCCCTGCGAGGCCGAAATTTGAATGTGCCGAACATGTGTAGACTTACAGTATCCGGGTATGGACTGTCAGCACGATAGATAGCGGCAAGAGTACATAACGCCGACGCCGCTGATTAACGAGGGTAGACCTCTACAGGTCCTCCATCATTATAACGAGTCCGGTTAGTACATAAACCCCGTTAGTAAATATAAATCTGAAATTCCCCGGCAAAACGTGGTCTATACAACTGTTTACAGGTCAGGTTACAACATAATTCGTTAGTACATAAAATTCGTTATAACGACCCTTTGCCCTGGTCCCTGGCGTGCCAAACTCTCAGTATAAGATACTTCTCACCATGCAGGACCAAGGCCAAAACACATAGGATAAGGCAGAAAAACACATCTATCTATGTATTCGTAGATATGGACGATATTTTCTATCCAAGGAACGGCTATGTTGGAGATTTTCAATTATCTTATAACGAGTTGAAGCGTCAATAATTTATGTTGTATTGAGGGTAGCCCATAAAAGTACGAATCAGTGCTTCTTGCATCTTTAGTTGAAAGTCCTCGTCAGGCGAAATTACTGGTCAGTCGGCGTCACGCATTTTTCACAAAAATTTGCGTTTCACCTGCTGGGAGAGTATGCGTGTACTCGAGTCTCATCCTGAGCCCGTTTTTTTCTTCTTTTTTCAGCTCTAGTATAGCTGTATTTTTCATTGCAAAGTCGTCCTCGATTGTTGTGTTCGTTGTTCAAACGAAGTGGACATTCAATCATGAAGGCAGAGGACATAGGAGCCTGATTGGAGTTTCTCGTGGCATAGGACGGCCACACAGAGACATTTTGGGATTTTCTGAATATAAAATACCATACGCACGATGCTGAGATCAATTTGTGCGATATCAAATATTTTGTGATCTACCACATCGAGCAGAACGGGATCCAAACACAAGCTTACCGACGGTTAGGCTGCCAACCTGACTGGACAAATGATCCCTGGCTTCACCAGACGCCAGAAGTCGGACACCATGTCCTTTGTCGCGACGTCCATCTCCAAAAAGAACTCCATCTTCGTCGTGAAAAGGCTTGAAATACTCAATATTCAACCGAGATTCGCGGACTCGCGCTTTCTCGGATCGATTAATTTCCTGCTGGAACAGTTGCAGGGCAGCTTCCCGCCACTGTTTCAACAGGCGATGGCTCCAAAGCATGCCGGGAACAAGCCATATCGAGGTTGCAAGCCACCCCTCTCAGCAAAAAAATCGAAGAAATTCGAAATTTCAATGGTGGAAGATATACTATGAAGAGAATTTCAAAAAGTATGTTTCGCGGAGCGATCGCTCAACCTACGTCATTCAAACTTTGTAGGATGGTTCAGACGTACATGCTAGGCATGGAACCACAGGCGATGATGCCATAGCTGACACACAGAGTAACACACACAACAGAATCGTGTGCACAGATACTAAATTAGTGGACGTCGTCATCTTCTTCCCGCTGATCTCGAATGTACTATGACGTGCTATTTCGCCTGACGGTTACAAGATAAGTCTCGTTATAAGATAACTTTTTTGATGGCCCAGATATTATCTTCTAACGAGGGAGGACTTGTATTATGATATATAACTTACGCTCAGTGTGTACAGACTCTTGTCCGGGTGCTTGCGGATCAGGAAGCTGACCAACTTGCTGCTGGGTGCCTTCACGGTGAGCGAGAACGATCCCGGCGACGAGCGACTGTTGCGTACGATGAACCCACCGGTGGGCTGCTTGCGCAAGATATCCATCGCCATCTCTCTGTAGTAACGACATCACCATACAAAGTAGGTCAAGTCCTCTCTGCTCACAAAGTACGTATTGCCCGGACGGGCAGAGCGCCCTTGCAAGTGAGGTGGAACAGAATTTTTATTGCAACGCCAAGTTTCACGCTTGCGCGATCATCAGGCAAAAAGTAGGTCAGGCTTTCACAAAAAAACAGCACTTTGAGTCATATTCAGGCATTTCAGGGCGCCTTCGAGTACTATTTTCTGTCCTCACCCGTCAAAGTGACTGGCATGTACGCCGGTACGCGCCAGATACGCGCTGAAAAATACCTGTCGGAATTTCCATTTCGGCGCGTTTCCTTACGCATGATGCTTCAAAAGCCAGCACAGATATGGACAAACGCGTGGTTTCACGAGTACACGTGCCAGTTGTGAACACAGGTTTAGTCGCCATGCAATGTTGAACCATTCAACATTCAGCAATGTTCCATTCTAGTGGTTGTAGACTTGGATGAGAGCCAAGTATTAAAAATGAAAAGAGAGGAACATATGTTTACAAGTAGGATACTGGCGAGTCAGAACGGTCAGAGTCAGAGCGGTGAATCAAAACAGATAACTTGCAAATGTAAAACAGGGCCGGCCGAGGCAGCTCGAAGCAGGAATTCTCGGAATACGCTGAACATGTAGCTTGTAAACATTTGGTCCTCTCTTTTAAATTTTATTCCGGTGGTGAATAAAATATTAGGGCTCAGACGGTCACGGTTTTACTCCTAACGGTAAACTGCTAAGCTAACGGTCGGTTTAACGGTTATAACCTATAAGCCACGGCAATCCTGCGGACTCTTTCTTAACCGTATATTTGACTATACTCATTCAAAAATTAGTGTTGAAACGATCTCACCGGGTACTCGTTAGCTCGCTCGCCAGAAACTCGGCTCGTTTGTGCGGCCAGCTCGTTTGCATTAACGAACACCGTACACCGTAATCCGTACACATGGCAGTACAAGTCGAGCGGGGAGTCGGACATTTTTTTACGACTCCCTGGTCGATCGAGAGTCCAGTCCCGCGCAAAGTGAAAATCACTCGCAGTTACAGTGACTGCATGCCGCCTGCACGACACTGAGTTGTTTCAGTTGTCGTTGCAGCTTTGGTGGACTCCACTGATGTCTTGTTCCGCATCTGCTGACCTGCTGCAGGGCAAACTTCTGTCTACTCTCCATTCGAGTGAAAGCTACGCTCAGTCGTTTGGAAGTTTTCTCCCGCGATGCAGCGAAGAACAGGGCTACAGTCTTTGCAAAACGGTCTATTGTTACAAAGGCTGCTCAACGACGGCGCTGAAAAGACATCTCGACACCAAACAGCAGTCCGAAGTGAAGCAGCAGCATCACCAAACGCCGGCGGTAATTATTTGGACCAGCTGAATTTAAAAAAATCGAACTTAGGAAACATTTTGCCACATCAATGAAACTCGTTAGCTCGCTCGATAGCTTGCTCGTTAGTGGAACTGATCGCTCGTTTGTTATAGATACGCTCGTTTCAACACTATCAAAAATGTACCCTATGCAGTACAACACAAACATGTACATTCTCTTGCATGCTCATTCATACTTACTCTCACACCAAGAGACCAGATATGACCGAGTTGACAGCCCAGAAATTGCGTACGCGTGCGACAGCCTGCGAAAGTGCATACTTTGCAACGACATGATGGACTTGAAAAATTGACTGAAAAGTTACTGCGTAACCGTTATCTTTATCAGTTAACCGTTAATTCTTCCTAACCGGTCCCTGTTAATCGGACTAACCGTTTGAGCCCTATAAAATATCCTCCTATTAATAAATCTTACCTCGGTATGCCCGCCTGGAACCATTCTGCCTCCTGCAGTGCTTCCTCCTCCAGCTGTAGCTCCCGCAGCCGGTCCTCGATTTCGGCGGCTTCCGCGTCCACACTAACGGCATCTGCGTACACGTGGGAGTAAACGAATGGGCAGACACCACGTTAAGTGCCGGGAACCTGTGGACAACTAGGGGCGTCGGACGATAATTTAGGATGGTGCGCTCAGTCATCTAAGGCACCGTTCACCGGTTGAGTGGACCGTACCACTTTTTGCCACACGTACCCCGTAAATTAATAAAATACACTCATCTGGGTTCTAAATTTTCAAAATTGTCCGCTCAGCCACCCTTCCCACATGAGTAAATTATACTTTAGATAGCTGACCATACCACACGATGACTCCGCTGAAACTTTTCGAAACCTAGAGCCCAAATCAGGGCATTTCTTGACATCTTGGGACAGAGTGGCATGGTCAATACCGTAGTGACAGTGGCGTGTCCGACGTCCCTGACAACAGACTTTTATGAAGATATGAATGCTGTGGAAGAGCTCCTTACACCGAAATAAAATGTGCAGAGTTCTGCGGAAGGGCATTTTAATAGTTGTTAATTTTGCTCCTGGATTGCCCTCCGTATTTGCAACCTTCTTCCTTCTTCCTGCACCCCTTTCTTTAACTCCATTATCACATTCGCTCCCATGTAGTTGGGCTTGTAGCCCGTGTGTACTTGCGAATTCAAATTAAAAAAATACATACATACATGTACATCTGTCAGGGCCGCATGTTGGCGGGTGATCCGGGTCATGACACGTGCATACAATAAACACTCAGTCTTGATGAAATGCAAAAAAAAGCGACAGCAAACAAGACAAAGGCATTCCTACCGTCGGGCGGAAGGTCGGGTGGCAGACTGTACGTTGAACTGGTGCTCGAGTGCCTGGACATGGCCGCCTGCGTGGGCTGCTGGGCCATGAATTCATAATCGTCCAGCATGACACCGGGATCAGCCGGCGCAGGTGCAGCACTAATGCTCATGCTCATGCGCGGCTCCGAGATCTCGCCGTAATCGATCGAGTTCGATCGGACGCGCTCGTCGAAGCCCGCCACGCGCTGCGGTTTCTTCGGCTCCATGAACGGCACTGGTGCCGGGGCCAGTTCTTCCTCATCGGCCTCTTCGGGAACGTCGTCGTACACGTTCGGGTCGTCCTTGTACGACACCTTAATGCTGCTACTCTCGGGCTTTCCCCGGCGTATGGACTTCCTCGGCTTGGGTTTCGGCTGCTCGAGCGCTACGGGCGCCGGCGGTGGATCATCGAATGCAACGAGATCATAGTCAGCGTCCACGACAACGGGGGTCTTGGGTAGTTGGGGTGGCGCAGCCGAACGCGGGTCTTGTACTTCCACCAAATCGTAGTCGTTGTCGACGGCTGGCGTGGACGGCTCCGACACGGACCTCATCGCCGGCTTTGCCTCGGGTGATGGCGGCTGGCGGGTTTTCGGTTGTGGCCTGGGCGGCTCCAGTGTGGCTGACGGCATGGCTGCAACGCTGATCGGTCTTCGCAGGCTGCTCCTGGACGATGGCGATCGCGCCACGACGTCTTGGACCTCTCGCGGTGGCAGGCTGGGCTTTGGCGCTCCGCTTGTTTGCGAGCTTTTCCTGCAAGAATTGAAAGAACACAGTTGCGCAAGCAGTCCGTTAATAAACACACTCTCAGCTACATAAATAAAATGGAAAGAACACCGCCGCGCAAGCAGTCCGTTAGTAAACACATTCCCAGCTAAAACAGCCCTTCACGTCAGGAGAGTTTGGATCGTTGTCTACTTATGACAGAGGCGTCGGAAGGTATTTTTGGGTGGTACGGTCAGGCAGCTGCAGTACAATTTACTCGTGGAGTTGGAGTGGCCCCTATGAACATTTTGGAATATGGAGCCGAAATTACACCTTTTTTTGATTCACACAGTAGATCTACCATGCCCAGGACAAAGAGTGGTACGGTCAATACCGTAGTGACCGTAGCGTGTCCGACGCCCCTGTATGCGGTTTGTCTCATAACCGATGTCGTACTAACCGGGTAGAGCTGTAGCATGATTTTTCATCAACACATCTCAATGCTCCGACACTGTCGCGAGTACAATATTTAGTATTTAGTTCACAGTTCGCGGGAGACTCAGTTTTACTGGGTTTTCAGCATGTCTGTAGGAACACCACCACCCTCAAGGACAGATGCAGCTCCCAAAGCAGTGGGAGGTGAGTAGATGAGGTCCATCACAAAGTGGTCAAGGACCGAAATCCCATTCGCTGCTCACCGGCAAGTTCGAGGAGAAATGAGCGACGAGGGTTGCATTCAACAGCCACTTCTTCAAATACTTCATAGTTTATTGTCACAGACCTATTTCAGGCCATATCGCTCAACTTGTCTTACAAGCGATGCACTCAATGTTCCATGTGACTCCTGTGCTCCAACACACGTGCAGATTTGAGATGTTTCACCACGATTGCACTGCGTTGTGCCGTACACGGCTCAACGTACTGAGGCCAGAGACTTTTCATTCTGTGTGAGCGAGTACACTACGAGATTCACATTACACGGGGTTCACATTTCTAGTGCGTGTCTTTGGTCGTGGTGCCGAGACCCCAGGTCGGCAGAGCCATGAGCGCCCCACCCGGCATCACTGCTGCGTTTCGGTGCAGCCCCTGCTCAGTAGTTGTGACGTTTGTCCTAGTCTCAGTACCATTGTCTTTCATTATATTTACGAGTTGGGTATGCGAATATAGTAAAAAAAAAAGAAAAAAAGAAAATGCACTGGACTCTATAGAGCATCACACCAGAACATATTCACTGAGCCGGCATTTCTGTCGGCGAATAATTCTTCAAGAACTCACATGGAGGGTCAAGGAAGAACTGTCAGTTTTGTGCTAGATTGTGCATGTCTGGCTGTTCAAAATCTGGTTTATTTGGTGGACTTGATCGCATAAATTGCTACAATAGCTCTTCGGGAAACACCTCAAGTGTATACTGCAAAACATGTAAATTTCGGTGTATTGAATTTCGGTGTCAGGGACCTGATGGGTTTCAGGTGCAACTTAGAATTAGGTGACCAATATTCCCTTCACATACAGCACAGTCATACTATTGTGCTATTTAGGTGTAATCTAAATTTAGGCGCCTGGTATTTCTACCGAAATCACCGAATTTGAAAGTAACACCGAAAATAACCCGTTTACAGTATGCGCACTCACACTGCTCGTCGTTTCATCATTCCTCCCTGGACTTTGCTGGTTCCGTGGTAGCTGGCACGGTTGGCCAGCGCCTGCCTGGATGCAGCTGCGGCCGAAGTAGGTGGTGCGAGCGTGGCTGACATACCAGGGGCTACGCTCGCCACACTAGCTAGAGAGAGGGTTGATGCTGATGCTGCTGCTGCTGATGATGATGATGCCGGGGCCACATGCCTTTCAGGCAGGGCAGGAGGTGGGCCTTTGTTACTGGAGTTAACACAACGAGAGGAGTTCAAGAATGCAATGAATCGGTAGGCAACGCTCATCAAGCAATCGACTATTTCTCCTGCATGATCTATTGGATACCACTAGAGGGAATATTGTCAAAAGGACACGCACACACGCACACGCACACGCACACGCACACACACACACACACACACACACACACACACACACACATACACATGCGCAAACACACACACACGCACACGCACACACACACACAAACACACACACACACAAACACACACATGCACACACACATGTGCGCTCTCTCTCTCTCTCTCTCTCTCTCTCTCTCTCTCTCTCTCTCTCTCTCATAATTATCAGTACAGATAATGGTTCGAAGCAGGTGTGTACATTGCAAGATCATTACTTGGCTCTTCCAAATACTTCACAAAGTGAACAGCTCACAGAAAGTTGACTGAAATTCATGATCATGATATTGCACATACGGCTTAGGTGGCAAAGGACCGGGCTGCTGGGGCTTCTGTGCGTCCTGTGGCTTCTGCTGTTGCTGAGGTGGTATTGGTCCCTACATACAGAAGCAGCAGGTGGATCAGACACGCTACGGTCACTATGGTATTCATCGTACCATTCCTTGTCCCAGGTACCCTGTGAATCAATGAAGTACACTGATCTGGCTTCTGAATTTCCAAATAAAATCATCTCAGCCACCCCCAGGCCCTACCCATGAGTAAATTGTACTTGAGATGGCTCACTGTACCACACTAAAGGACCCTCCGACGCCCCTGAACACTGGTGATTGCATGCCATCATGCACACTGTTGATTGCATGCCATCATGCAGATATGTACAATACATGGACATAGGCAGTACGCAAATGCATACACATGCATATTAGTATTCCCAGACATGCATATAGCTGCAAGCATACACAATCTTGCATACATATACCCACACGCACCATCGTACGCACGCGCACACGCACACCGCACATACTTACACACAATGTACCATGTATACGCCCGTCGCAAGAGAAGCACGCAAGTCTACAAATGCACTGGATGTCCGGCCACAGATTTTCTCTTTATAGCAACGATAGCGGATCTGATTCTGAATGAAACAGATCAAGACTAGTGCCAGATAACTGCCCAATCCATACAACTGGCACTATTCAAGAGAGGGCTTTATTTTTTCACTGGCTCTTAGAGACTTGGGCACTGTTCAAGATAGGGCTCTAATGGCGCGAGTACCGTAGATGCCCACAATAAAAAATAAATAAAATTCGACGGGTTCGCGTACCGGGCAGGTCAAGAACAAGGAGTCGTACAACTCCCTGGTCAAGAGCCACCTTTCCGCTTCCGTGGGACGCCACCACCCCATGATGCCCACAAGGCGCAGACAAATGTGAACACAAGTTCAATCTACTTTTGCAGGGGCGTAGCAGCCGATCCGGCCGGTCCGGCTTGGGCCGGACCACTTTTTCGCCCAGAAGTGCCCAGAATGCAGGATTTTGAACCCTAATTTCAAAAATTTCCCGGGGGGATACCCCAGACCCCCTCCAACCGGACCACCTCTAACGGCGGTGCTACGCGCCTGTGTTGATGTATGTTCTCCACACATGTGCATCTTTAGACCTACAGTCATATAGTGTATCTGTTGTCTAAAGACCAACAAGTACAAATAGATCACAATAGAAGTGGGTCAGATGCGGATGCGGCACACCATTCTTTCCATCGCGCTTCTGATTTTGCTGCCAGTATGCCATCTGTCCTTCAGCTCTTGTGCGTGTGTGTGTGTGTGTGCGTGTGTGTGTGTGTGTGTGTGTGTGTGTGTGTGTGCACGCAAGCAGTGGTGTGACATCATCGTGGATGATCTCTGCTCCATCAGCCCCCCTGTGCCTTCTGACTGCTGGATTGCTGCTGCCCAGGAACACTCTGCCTGGAGGCAGACCGCTCATTGTCGTGCTCCCGCCCGCGCTCCCCCTGATCCTGAATCTGGCTTCCGCAGCGCATGTGGAAAGGTCTGCCCGGTCGTCCCGGGGATCTCAAGCGCCACGCTCCGTACTGCAAAGCTAGCAGATAGTCCCTTCGCTATCATTGCCATCGGCAATGGGCACGTTCAAGTTTCAAGGTTCAAGGTGTGTGTATCTGTGTGTATGTGTATATGTGTGTGTATGTGTGTGGTAATTTGCCACTTCAGCGCCACCGTTTCAGCGCGATACATTTCAGCGCCAGCATTTTAGAGCCTGATTTCACAGCGCCAGCTTCTTCAGCGCCATGACTATCAGCGCGGTAAAGTACAGCGCCAGCAACTCAGCGCGAAAAAAAGTAAGGCACGGTGATTTACAGCGCTAAAACATACAGAGCGAAGAGCGAAGTACAGCGCGAACAAGTACAGTGCGGTTAAGTGCAGCACGATACGGTACAGCGCAGTCAGGCGCTAGGAGATGTATACTATAGTGTTGGCAACTGAAATCCGACCCCCTTGGCGGCTCGCCGCGCCGCCAAGGGGGTCGGATTTCAGTTGCCAACACTGTAGTACATGTGCACTGTACTAGTCTATTATCAATAAATTGGCGGTATGATACATGGCGCGGAGATATGTGGCCCGGAGATCTGTGGCGCTGAAAAAGGTCACGCTGACGTATTTGGCGCTGAGATATTTGGCGCTGACATATGTAGCGCTGAGATATTTGGCGCTTATCTGCTGGCGCTGAAGTATGCGGCGCTGAAATATTCGGCACTGTAAAATTCGGCGGTTACGTTAACGGCGCTGGTTGGTGCTGAACTCCTGGGCACCGAAATGGCATGGAATAATGTGTATGTGTATGTATATGTGTGTGTGTGTGTGTGTGTGTGTGTGTGTGTGTGTGTGTGTGTGTGTGTGTGTGTGTGTGTGTGTGTGTATGTGTATGTGTGTGTGTGTGTGTGTGTGTGTGTGTGTGTGTGTTTGTGTGTGTGTATATATACATAATATGTGTGTGTGTGTGTGTGTGGGTGTGTGTGTATGTGTTTGTGCTTGTGTGTTTATACAAAATCTCCCTCTTCACCACTATGGTCTTACACTGCAATCTATAATCTACAATCTGCTGCATACTGTAAAAGCAGAAATTTTCGCAATTTTTCGGTGATATTTTATTTTCGGTATCTTCGGTGCCGACAATTTTTACCTAAAATAAAATTCACCGTAAGTGTACATACATGCAGTATGGAAAACTGGTTTATTGAAATTTTCGCGCTACTGAACCGTTGATTTTGGGAAACACCGAAATAGCACACCACGGAAAATTCCTGATTTTACAGGTTTTCGTATTTACGACGATTGCAATGTAAGACCGTGGTGGTGAAGAAGGAGATTGAGACATGTTTAATTGACTGTGCAGTGGAGCTTGCGCGTATTGAAGAATGTAATGTCGCGGACATGGAAATCCAGCCGATTGACCGGGGCCGGCGCCCTCAGCGCGTACATAGAACAGTGCACAATCGTGTATTGTTGATCTAATGCAACCAGCGCGGTGCAGCGCAATGTCATACATGTAGTGCTTACCCACGGCTGCATGACCAGCGCCCTGGGGCCGCTAGACGTGTGACCGGATTTCCATGTCCACAACAGTAGTTTCCCTCATGCCTAAACTCACTCACCATTGGTACCTTGCCTGTCACCTGGTCGCTTCTCCGCTTTGCAATGACCTTCTTCATCTCCAGGAGGCGTTCTTTCTCCAGCTGCACCTCGCGTTGCGCTGACTCGATGCTTTCGTCTCCATCGTCGCTGCCGCGGCTACTCTGCGGGGAGTACGACGGCAGGCCTTCGGAGATTCGACGCTGAACGGTCGGTCGCACGCCCTCGACACTGGACTTCGAGTAGCGTATCTCTCCAGGCTTACGCGGTGGCTTGGCTGGTGCCTTTAGTGTCTGCAGGAGAAAGGAATGAGAACACGTATTAAAGTACTGATCAGGTTTTCACTCCTTTGAGGGAAAGATGCGAATGGGAAAAGTCTGAAGAAGAAAAAATGACTGCCACCACCAGGACCCGAACCCGGGGCATACGCTTGAGGCCAGCGAAGGACTACAATAACCGAATGACTAATCAGCTCGTATACAGTACTGCTGGGTGCTGAAGTACGTAGTGCCGGAGAACGAACGGGCAAGAGTCTCACCAAACAAAGAGCATACCAAAGTATTCACTTTATTCCACTCGGCACACTGAGTAGATCATAGCACAAGAAAATATGAACGGACTAGGCTACGAGGCTGACCCCCCTCCCCCCCCCCCCCCCCCCTCCCCCAACACACCAGTTCTTCGGAGACCGACACTACCCCGGTGCTGAAGATTTGAAATGTCGATCCATTGTGTCTATGGAACAATCCTCAGGGGAAATCTGCTCGGGATTGATAACTAGAATTTGTTTCCACTGGCCCAGATTCAACCACTTCAAAATACAGTGAAACCTGCTCTAACCGGACGCTCTTGGTACAGCGGAAACTGTCCTGATATGACAGGACTCCGCAGGTTCGATCCACAGCACTTTGGTGCATGAATACTTGTCCAGTCAATACAGTATTCCGCTTGGTACAGGGTCCGGCAAACTGGAACAGGTTTTACTGTAGATATGCAACTACTGTGATGACTCACATAGAGGCGCATGCACGTTTAGCTGGGAACAAGAGCACCCTCGCATAATAATTATAAGCGCCTGGGTGTATATGCAAGTCCAATACCGTGACACATTGACCCCACCAAAGTGCCATGTTTACCCAGTTTAATACTCACTCAGTCTCCACATGCAATACTTGTGGAACAGTTACAAACGCATACGCCTATGTGTGAGATCAATCGACCTCGAAATTACAAGTACGGAAAAAACCGCTTGTATAAGCGCATGGGTTTTGGTGTGCGCCATTCGTCTCATTACAGTACTGTCGGGTAGCGCCGAAGAACAGCCAGCGATCGTAATTTCCATAATTATCACTTAGACATAAATTTGTAGTGCTAGAGCCTACTTTTTCTGACCTTGCCGCACTCCTTCCATATTCTGAATGGCTATAGGCATGCGCAGTATGGTACGCGCGCATATTAGGCATGCGCGATCTTGACCCGTGTAAGTTAGGCATGCGCGTTCCTAATCAGTCTCTCCTTTTTCTGATCACCAAGATTGACCTCGTGTTCTTATGGCTCTTGTGTGAATCCAAGTTTGCAGGCAGCTCGCCTTTTAGAGCAAGATATCATGAGTGGATTGTTTGTAGTGCAACTGGCATGAGTATTATTAGATCAGGGTAGTCGCACGGCGACAAGACTGTGATACACGAAGATAGACACAGTCTAGGCTAGGAGGCTGACCCCCCAGATCTTCGGCACCCGACGGTACTGTACACTAGTACCAAGAGTGTATAACCCCCCAAGAGTGTATAACCCCCCAAGAGTGTATAAGCCCCCAATAGTGTATAAGCCCCCAAGGGTGTACAACTCCTGATACCCTTTCTATGGGGTACGCCGACGGCGAAAACTCACATCACGTGGTGCAGTGTCGCAGTTGTACGTTTCCAGCCCGTTTTTAGCGAGCAGCGGAGTAATAAAAAAATCACTCTCTGACAGAAACTCACTCCGGGTATGCAAATCCCCAGCGTGATATCATGCCAGATATTCGGATTGCGCGCACACTATCCTTCGTTTGTACGTAGTACAAACGTCTCGGAGACATGTGATGTGAGTTTTCGCCGTCAGAGACCCCATATGCAGAGTTGCATGCTCTTGGGGGGGGGGGGGGGGTATTATACTCTTGGTACACTCAAACGTCTCTTATCCGGACGCCTCAGATACGGGCACGTCTCTCTACCGGGCACCTTCAGCTTGAGTTCCTATGGCAAAAATGCTTTGAATTTGGTTGGTTTGAAGTTTTTTCGTATGCGCAAGTGCTTATTTGTCACTGCCAACCTGTGAAATCCAGACATTTTTATCAATGGATTCTCTCTGTAACCTGAACATGTGCAGTACGTGTCCAGTAAACTTCTTCAAAAATGCTATGATACATGGTAGGTGAGATATCCTGAGATACGGGCAAATCTGAGATACGGGCAGTGCCCGGTCCCAAAGTGCCCGGATAAGAGACGTCCGAGTGTACTACCTTGAGGAAAAATGAGAAATATTCAATCTCCGGTCAGCCACGTAAAGCTGTACGCAGCGAGCCGCATTGTTTCTTGTAGCATGATTGGAACATGAACTTACTCCCCTGCTAGCCGGCGGCGATACTCCCGTGTGAAGCGTGCCGGTCTGGCCAGGTTTGAGAGTGCTGGCCGGTTGGCCGGGTTGGAGAGTGCTGGCTTGGCCGGGTTTAAGAGTGCTGGTTTGGCCGGAAGGCATGGCAGCCGGGGGCCGGTGCTCATCGAACTTCTTCTCGTTTGACATGCGCGCTGCGTAGGCCAGCTTGAACGACTTGTTTACCAGTGTGCTGATCTCCGTTGCCTGTAAAGACGCAACGCAGACACGATCACAGCATCGAATGAGAATATAGCGGTAACACGAAGCTGGCGATTTACATTTAGAACAACTCAGATATGTCCAGGGACTGTGCCGCTGCTGGAATTACATAATGTCTGATGCTGCCATGCGGACGGAATTTTTGAGGAACGTACCCTAAGCTGGAGGAGACCTGCTTGAATTTCCCTTGCGTGCACTGCATATGTTACTGCCAGTACCTTTTGACGCCCATCACCGGAGGCGATGATAGCAATGCTACAGCAAAAGCAATAGCAACTTGTGGTGGGATTGCACCATTCAACAGCTTGCAAGGCTGAAGAATTGACTGCCACTATTCAGCCTGGTCTACACTACACAGCTCTGAGTGGCTTTTTTCTGGCCAGTGAATCCTTACTTTTTGGTCTTTTCCATTTTTTCCCCGCACACACATACTCCGGCATGCACTGGCTGTTGGTAACCATCCAGAAGAATGAAAGAAAAATCAGGAGGAGTCTGAGAAAGAGAAGAAAGACGTTTGTGACCATAATCGTCGGGAATCGAATCCGCAATCTCTCGATTGGAAATTGCTGCACATACCACTGCACCGTATGGGACACACAGTACATGATGCATATTGCCGCCGAGTGGACAAAACTGGTGAAGAGTTTTACAACTGAGCTGGTGCAGACCGCTGAACTCCCCCATGCACACATTGCATGCCTATGATCATGCCATTGAGGTGTTTCTCCACATCAATCGCCCGCACCAGTCCACACTGTGCTTTGGGTGTACTCGTCGTACATGCTGTTCGGTCGACAGCATGCTACAAGGTGGAGGACGCACCGTGTTCGGAAACAATCCTCCTTAATGCATCCACCCACTGTTGGCAGAGCCCCGGTCCTGCGGCCATTCGAACAGTATGGGGAGCCAGCCCTGGTAACTGTCTCTGTATGGATGGTTGTAGTGAAGAGCACTGTATAACACAGTGTGTCCTCCGCCTTGTAACATGCTGTCAACCACACAAGGCTTACCTAACACCGTAACCGTACATGTATATGCCAGGTCATGCTTACCAGTTCAGCTTTGTGGCACTGGAAGCAGTGGCAGAATGCTTCGCCGCCTTTGTTCGGAGGATTGACGGCCACAAAGGAGAAGAGCGACCTCTCGCTGAGCGGCACTGTGAACTGTATACGCGGTAGGGCATGTGCCATGAACAATGTCTGAAAGTGTGGGCACAGAGCAGGAACAGAACAACGTGTTGTCACGATCAACTCTATGTCATCTCGCTTGGTAGCACTCCTAGTGATAAGGTCCTGTGGGTTTTGCAAATTCAAGTTACGGCAGGATTTTGTAATTTTTTAAATGCCCACATCAGACAGCGGGAGAAAGTATTGTTGCTCGGTGCCGGTGTGAACAGGGCATAGGCTGCCACTCAAGGGAGGTGTAGGTCATCATGCGTATGATGAAGGAATGACTGGAGAAATGCACTGACCCCAGGTTTCCCTACCAATCTATTCATTGCAATCTCAGGCATACAAAGCATGCCATATGCGAGACCACGTGACTAAAGTGCTCATCTAATTGACTCATGTAAATGGGTAGATGCTGGATGAATAATCACGGACTTATCAACCATGGGAAGATCCAAAACCCTTGTCCTGAAAGTATTCAAGCATCAACTGACCCCACTGCTTAATTCACAGTGTGCTCAGCAGGCAGGCTGATTATATCGGATAGAAATTGTATTAGTGATGCAAAGAACACATTTTTTCTGATGGGGAGTTGGCTTATCAGGATTCTACTATAGGTTTGCTCCCGCTTTAGGAGCTGCGTCTGGGCCTTGATCGATAGAGTTTGGTGGCGTTCCTACGGATGCGGAGAACTTGGCCTTCAGGCGAGTCTCACGCAAACCGTGATTTTTTTTGGGCTACAACAACCCACCTCTCCATCCACTTGGTAGACCTTGACACCGGTCGGTAGGATGAACAGCTTGATGGGCTTTCCAGACGAATATTTCTAAGAGCACAGAAAGGCAAGCAGAAATGTTACACTCATCGAATACAGATTCCGTGATGTCTGTGGTCGGAGCCGTGATCAATCCCCGGTTGTATATCGACTCCCTTCTCTCAATTTGGGTTTCAGGTCATAAAATATCGACTCATAGCCGGCAAAATTCGGCACAGGTACTGACGGCACCCAGAAAACCCACGGCTGTGTGCTTCTTACCTCGTCAATGATCAGCTGGCTCATCTTCTCCCGTACAAACTCATGAGCGTTGCTGTCCTGATAGTCAGGTACCGGGAAAGAGCCGACATACTGCAACCACAGTATAAGAGCGGTGCAGCCGAAACACAACAATAAGTCCATTGCGCAATGACGCAGTTTGTAGCCTAAACGCCCCACACAGCCACCTGGTCATGGTCGTGTAGGGCGTTGAACAGTGCAATACTGATCCCAGCATACACGCATGCACTACTCACGCAATCCATGTTTGGCAATGAGCTATGGGCTTTTGGTGCAACAAAGGGGCAACAACAAGAAAAATGCAGGAACACAAAAAAAATAGAAGACGGACATGATCATATTTTGAGTGAGTTTAGGGAATCTGCATATTCCATGGGTGCATGGCTAGTGTGCTGGGGTTGCTGGCCCACACCATTTTCATTGCAATCGTCATAGGAATGAACCTTTCCTAGCACTTTTCAAGGTGAAAGCCCTGGATCTGCCACTGTGGATGAATACAGATGTAGGCTGCGCACATGCTTGTGTTGAATGTCACGTGGTGTTGATCTACATTAAATGGGTGGCTACCGTTAGAGATCGGGGATTGTCTGCGGAAATTTATCGGAGTTGCGCACAAAATCATATCCCCACTTTATTCGCCCAAGTAAAAATAATACAATACAACACAAATACAAGTGACTTGTGAAATGTTCCTTCCTTATGGACACTACTCATTTCTATTTGCTGCCGTAAGTTTCCATAATTTTGAAATATGATACCATTCATAACGGTGCTCCTTAATCCTCTGCCACGCCGGCAACTTTCACGACAATGCTTAGTCTGATGTTCTCCGCACGTAAGCCATCATATTTCAAGGCAATCGCCCAGCTGGAGAGAAATGCCGGAATTGTGCAGTATGTCTACATACATCTACAGGTGCGGCTCGATGAAATCCGGTCGAGTCACTCGAGTACGCGCCGGGCGCTGTGCAGCCCTAGACCTGCGAACACTGGCCTGCGAATTGGTGCAAGGTGCCAACTTGACTCAGACGACCGGATTTGTACTGTATAACAGTGTAAGTGAGCACGCACTCTGTCTACATCATTGCTGAAAGTCCAGCTATAGACCTTATTCGATAAACGTCACAATCACGTGAACCGGGGTCCCGGGAACCAGGGAGTGGCAAGAGACCTGCACTCAGTGCACAGTGAGTGGACTTGGCGTGGGAACATAGGAGTAGAAAATACCGGTATTTTACTACTCCCTTGTACGAACTGAGCCTTTCTTGCCACTCGTTTCACGTACGCGTGCCCCAGCTTACCGGTACGACAAATCCCTGGAGGCGAGTCCAATAATCACGTTATCGAATACTGTAAAACGGGTAACTATTGCGACGTAAAAATGTTTGCGAATTTTGCGAGAGGCCCCGAATCGCAAACTTTGAACAACACAAACTCGCGCCATGCAAAGTTCAAAGAAGTATGTATTCAATATGACATATACATGTATAATTATGTACATGTACATGCACTGTATGTATTCAATATGTATTCAATAAGTATTCAATATGTATTCAATCGCAAACATTAAACAGCGCAAACCAGTCTCAATTTGTAAAACGCAAACATTTATTGTCGCAAACGTTACCCGTTTTACAGTAAGGTCTATACTAGTGGGGTAATAGACATGGCTAGCATTTTACCGTTCACGCTATTTTCGACGGTCGGCCTGTACCGTTTTGTGTGTGTGTAGACATGGCATTTTACCGTTCACGCGCTAGATCCAACGCCGGCAACGGTACTCGTACCCAACACCCAAAATACCGTCGGTTTGGTACGGTTTCGACGATAGAAAGCTCTGTTTAGCGGGAGAACGAAACGGTAAGATTCCACCTAGGGTTACGTCACAAGTCGATCGTTGCGTCAGGAGTGACGACTCAGAAGCCGAACTGCTAACCGTGTCTCTAAAACACACAAAAAACAGGAGACTCGCCCTCTACACGCCGACCGTCGAAAATAGCGTGAACGGTAAAATGCTAACCATGTCTAATGACACTGTATAACTTTTCTATTGATTTCTATTTTCTAAGGCGTCGAGATGAAACCCACACACGAACGCATGTACATGTACATGTACTCACATGGGCAACTCGTTGAATGGGCTGAAAGGTCTTGCTGACTGTACCGCTTCTCGCCTCCCGCTCCGGACTCCTCTCCACGAGCTGCGGCTGGCGTATCTCTCGCTGGTTGGCCAGCCTGCGTCGCAAGTGGGACCTTGCATGAAGGTGCTTTCTGCCTCCCGGACGACTCATTCTGGTGATTGACGAGGTACACAGGCGAAGGTTTCGTGCTTTCGTTCAAATCCTATTGTTTTCCTTTCTGCAACGCCCGATTTCAAGGGGCGAGCTTCTCAGCAACCACCAACCGCGACCACAGTCCCTAGTTAGCTTGATGAATGGGCTTCATCGGACGGGATGGCGGTCAACGACTCCTACGCCCATATGTCGCGGCGCTTCAAAACAACACCCACGTGGACCCCGGGGTCACTCGCGATGGGCTTCGACAGTGTAGGTCTGAGCGCGCGGTGATTGAGGGTTTTGAGGAATCAATCCCTTCGACTCGACAGAGGTAATTCTCTAGAGAATGAAGAAGGACCGATCCAAACAATACATCATTTTGAAAAATACTAGTACTACAGCAATGAGATCAGGTCCGTCTCGACCCTTGAGTCGAATACGGAATAGTAAACATGAAATCCTGAGGAATTGTTTCACGCACGCGACGGCTTTCGTCCGTTCTATTCATGCTCATTTTCCAGTAGTCACCAGACTTGGGTGCTGAATCATGCATGGGATGTGACAAGACTGAGCGGCGGACGGTCGTTGAAGTCGGACCCGACGACTACGACTCGACTTCTTTCCAGCCGGGAGACAGTGTTCGCGGCGGAGTCGCGTGCTGCGCCCAGTCCTTTGACGTCAACAGGGCCACCCTGCAGCCTGGGCATGCCACAAAATCAAAGATTGCCATGGACACACGTGATATGGGTGTCAAGGCAAAAGGCTGCTTTTACTCAAGCGCTATTTTTGTCCGTTTGAACACAAACAGTAGCGGAATTATTTGTTACGAGCGCAGCGGAAACAGGTCTTCTATGTTTGAATGTTACCGGGATCTTTGGTTGTTCTTTCTCCAGGTATTATAGTCTGTTGGCAAAGTGGTCATAAATTGTAGGTTGAATCGCTAAAGGGTTCGTAATAATTGAGTTAGGGCAGAGGCTGTTAGTCAATATTATTTCCAATCCCAGAATATTATTACAGCCTGCCCTGGATGTTCTTATGCTCAACGTTCGCAGTGCTGTTTCTGAAGTAATTAGTTTGGTGGCTGAACTGGAGCTGTCGCTGAATAGTCGCAGTAGTGGACTCGCTGCACTCGTCGCTACGCCTAGCCACACTACTCGTGCGTATCGATCGGACGAAGACTACGTAATGAAGCATGATGATCACGTCGTAAGCTCGGTCATTCAGTGGTCACATCAAGGGTTATTTCGTGTATCCTATACGCTAATGGATAGGACATTCCATAAGAGTGAAGTGGATCCTTTGGCCGAGCTGCTTTAGGCTGTACTGTGAGGTGATAATTCCGAAAAAGGCAGTGGGACTTATCAGCGTGACCTGGATCTGACTGAGCTGTGTAACACCTGCCCTGGGACAGAATGTCGTCGGCGGCCATCATGCCGATCAAATGCGGATATCGGCACAGCCCTCCAAGGCTTATACTCTGCTACAAACAGGGTAAGCAGGCGTGTGCGCCGGTGCCCTTCAAGGGGGGGGCCTCCCCGTGAAAATTTTCAAAAAATGAACCAAAATCCTGCATTTTCTCTTTGCTTCAAGAAATCTTTACCAGCCGCTGCTGTAGCTCTCACACCACTGCCACTACGAGATCCCAGGTGTCTTTTTCTTTGGCATTACCCCCAGCACAGAGTACGGCTGGCTTTTCTCGGATTGGCTATCTCGCTGCTGACCGGTGGAATATGCTGCCTTCCACTGTTCGTACTTGTACCGATTACCGCTCATTTATTCGCTCATGCATAACCTTCCTAGGGGCTCCCGTAAGAAGACCATAGGTCTGTGGGAAACACCCTAGTAAAATAAAAGTTAATAATAATAATAATAATTTTGAGCGAAAAGGGGGGGGGGGGGTTCCGGGCACCCAGGAGCCCATACGGGGCACGCGCCTGGTAAGCTGGTGTGCACCGATTGTGCTTTACCAGGGCCGCCAGAAGCAGTTTTTGACTGGTCAGGCCATACCACACTCCACAGCCTTTCATGCATTGTGCTGCACTACTTTCCACTACTTTTACTTTAGCTCATACATGTACAATCGTGTACACGTACACTCTTCAAAGCGGTGAACCCCTTGATAGGCGGCAAGCCTCTGGATCACCCTAATACAGATGCTATTATGACCGTAAAATCTTAATTTTAAGTAGTTACAGTAAGAACTTAGAAGTTGCGACTTCGGCGATACAGTCAGACCTCGCATAACCGCACACATCCGTTTTCTACAAAAATATCCGGATAGGCGGGGGAACCGGATAATCGAACACACATACTGTATGTATGCATGGCATATGCTGTAAATCGGTAACCAACGATTTTCTTCCGGATGGCGAGGGATCCGGATAAAAGAGGACCGAATAAGCGAGGTCTGACTGTATTAGTCATGAAGTTGGTTGTTCCAACTAGGAACACACGCAAGTGTCAAGTTCGGCAAGAAGCGTGTGTTCCTGGTTGGAACAACCAACGTTATTTACAGTAAGCTGATTGTAAATTGCCCTCAGAATGTGCATAGATCATGCAATGTGTTTTTGTGGTGCTTGAAAACTAAAACTGATTGCGGCAACTTCAACCATATTTGTACCAGGTATGCCAGCAGTGGCCTGTTGGTCTAGGGGTATGATTCTCGCTTTGGGTGCGAGAGGTCCCGGGTTCAAATCCCGGACAGGCCCATCTTTTTGTTCAAAGATCGTAGCTCAATCTTCAAGCTGTCCTCCCCTTCATGAGTGATAGCACCAAGTTTACGAAACCAAGAGTGAGCAAGTCGGCGATCTCTTGGTCCACTGTGACCATTTTTAATGGTGTTCAAGTTCAAACTTCAAAGGATGTGTACTACTATCGCAGCACCTGCTGCCCAGGCAGAATATCGGGTGGTACAAAGTATGGATCCATGCATCCTGAACCTGCTGACCTAACACCGTATCTAGAAGACGAGTTCTAAAAAGCAGACACACTTGATCATGCTTCTGCCGAAATGAAGCAATAATTGAGCCGACTGAGTTGGTGTTAAACTGCAGAGAAAGTATTGCTCTTGACTTCACACTACTCAAACGCAGCGTCCGATAGAGAGATCACGTCCGCATATTCTGGTTGGGCCAGGGGAGACTCTTGATAATACCATAGATATTAGTAAGAATTTAGAGGAAATGACACATGGTGGTATGATTACGGCTGGAAAGTGCCAGGCCACGGCTAGTAAGTAGTCATGACAACCCTGACTTTTGGATCCACTGGGATCCACGTTATAAATGAATCAATACAGTCATGTCATGTTTGAGTAGTTTTCACACAGTGTGTGTGTGTGTATACGTACGTGTGTGTGTGTATACGTGTGTGTGTATACGTGTGCGTGTGTGTGTGTGTGTGTGTGTGTGTGTGTGTGTGTGTGTGTGTGTGTGTATGTCATGATGCACATGTTCATCAGGTGGAAAGACGCGGCAACGGACAATGCCAGTTCGCAATTCAAGCCAGACAGACAGGTAACCAATGCCTTAGTACAGTCAACTTTGAGGGTTTTTTTCTGGTTGTGCTACTCCAGTTGTATTTGGCACAAGTACTGAGGTCCAGAGCACTTCCAAAGTCAGGGCAAGGAGCTTATCAGTAGAATGGCAGGGTGGCGAGGGGGAGTGTACTTGTGTCTGAGTTGTGTGTATGTGCCTGTGTTCAATTTGGGGGGTGGGGGGGGGGGGGGGGGGAGGGGTAGCAGATGAGCTCGTGTTTGTATGTATGTGTGTGTATGTGTGGTTGGGGGGCTATCGTATGGGGATGGGTTTGTGTGGGTGGGTGTGTGCGTGCGTATGTTCATGGGGGTGTATTTGTGTGGGTGCGCGTGCGTGAGGAGGTGCTCGTGTGTGGAACTACACGCAACATAGCTTGTATATGGTATGGCCGGATTAATCTGATGATGAGCGCATGTAACTATATATTCGTATTTGTTTATGTGCATCCTTTCACTTTACCACATGTACTGTATAGCACTTCCCAACTGGTTGATCAGCTGTTGAGCCGACATGCAGACTACCTTACAACAGTGCCCCGTCAACAGGTGAGGACGTGTGTTGTGCGCCGTTAGCCTGATCAAGTTCTTCAGAAATGCGTGCCTTGTGCAAATGTTCAGTCAAACCGGTTTGGATAAACAACTGTATTCTAGGAACTCTGTGACACTTAGGTTTACAAATGTTGCCGCCGCAACTGCCAACCGTGAGCAGGTTTAAAGCCCGTTTTGCGATGCGATCTGCGACGCAGGAGTGCAATGCGAACTCTCAAAGTACTCGACATGGGAAGCAGCACAGAAGAAGTCAGCGATGCGACGTCGTTTTGCTGATGTGCCTGTGTGAGTCGTGGGTGAAATTTGAGGATTTGCTAGTTTTGCGGTCGTCCCCTCACTCCTCACGTCGCTAAAATGATTCTGAGAATCACGTTCAAGGGCTGTCAGTAATAGATACTAAAAGCGCGGATTCTGAAACATGTTACCATCGTGTATGCCGTTCACCTTTTCCTGGGATGCTGGTTGATAAGTTGTTGGATGTTGTGCGTGCGTGTGTGTATATGTGTGCGGGTGTGGGTGTGTATGCACGGATATGTGCATACGCGTGTCTGTGTACGTGGGTGTGCATGCTTGGCACGTGTGTGAATGTGCATAACGTTGTTGAACACTTCTCTCTTTTCAGATTCACAACCTGGTCGAAAGGCTGTTGGACAGAAAGAGTACGGTACAAATGCCTGGCAAATCTGAAGCCACAACAGCTAAGAAAGCAGTGGCATCGCTTCCCTCACGACCCATTAATAGCAGTTCTTCATCAGATGAAGACGATGACGCAGCCCGAGACCGTCACCAAGTGGCAAGTCCGGTAGGCAGCGGTTCTGCCTCTCCGACTTGGAAAGTGGCAACGCCAACCATCAACCTGAGCAGTAGCAGCAGCAGCAGTCTCGAAGATTTCTCCCGGCAGAAGACTCGTGCACCAGCTGGGGCAGGTGGTATCAATGATGATGATGATGATGACGACGATCCTCTCGGTTTGGCGAACATCACAGCAGCAAGATCAGGCTCGCTGACCACTCGCAAAACGGAACCTTCGAGAAAGACTGAGCAACCCAACGTGAGTGCTAAACAAAGCAGTGACAGTGACGATGATTCCTTTGCTGGCCTGCAGCCGAAACAGGAACAGCAAGACCGGCTGTCCGCACCTGTCGGTAAGAAACCCCACGTACAGTTCAGCACCGGCCAAGACCAGGTGTTTGAAATCAGCCGCGACGGCAGCAGCAGCGACGGCAGTCTCTCTGATCTGGGACTCTCTGACGTCCAGACTGGTACAACGTCATCCGGTAAGGCCGGCGGCGTCTCGACTGAGACACGGCCAAGTGGCTTGACGCCTTCGGACAAGGATAGCACGAA